CCTCGTCTGGAGTACGGGCTTCGGTAGGGACGGGGAGGACCGGGAGCTGTTTGTTGAGAGTTGCGAGGAAATCTCTCTGGTGTCTGCGGTCCGCTTCTGATACCCACTCTTCTGAGAGCTGTTGGGAGGTAGACACGATGGAGGTATACGACGTCGCTGACGAGTCCGGTTTGTAGATATCTGATGATGGCAAAGAACGCAAAGAATTGGACGAGAGCGGTGATGGTAGAGAAGGCGTCCAGTTTGAGAAGACTGAACGACAATAGGTGTAATAGGGTGGATAGTGAGAGGTTGATGACGATAGTGAGGAGAGGGATAGGGATGGTAGAGAGGTGGAGAAGGTGATGATGAAGGTTTAGACCGGTGCAGTGGCAACGACAGTCTTTTTCAGGGTGTAGGGAAACGGTTTTCCAAAGAGGGGCTCTGGAAAAGGATTCGAGGTAGGTGAGTTCAATATTTTGTCAGGCAACAAATACGAAGCTATATAACAAAGCCCAATGTCTGGTCAAGTCCTTCCTTGAAGGCGGTGAATCAGAGTATGAGAATGAAGAGTATCGGTAAGAGCGCAAATCCAAACTAATATTGAACTGGAGAACAATACATCAAGTATGTACTTCTCTATATAGTGAACGACGATGGTCAGACCGAGAAAGGGAAGTATTGAGAAAGTGGTCTGACCAGCTAGCTAACCAATAAGAAAAAAAAGAAGAAAGTGGTCCGATCTATCGTCTTTACTAATCGTACGAGAAAGTGTATTGGTAAGGGATGTACGATTGGCCGTATCAGTAAGCCCATGAGAAGGCGCTGACTCACAACCTTCTTCGCTTATCAATATTCCTCCGAAGTATTCCCAGACATAGCACTGGATCGTGACTATGTCATCTGGATATCTTCTCGAGGGTCGACAACGAGTCTACCTCGTTGTAGGTACGATAGAACGTGAGTGTGAAGAGAGAATAAGAAGAAAAATGATAAAAGTAATAAGACACCTGCTGTAATCTCTAGTCCAAGGGCAAGAGGAGTGACGGGGATTGAGTCTGCTAACCACGACATGACGGGAATGCGATAAGAAAAATCGATTCCTCACACGTGGCAGATCATATCGGTAGATCTGATCGGACCATTACCAGAATCAAATGGATATAACATGATAATGGTAATAGTAGATTGGTTTACAAAAATGATCAAGGTAATTCCCACGCAGATGGAAATCACATCAGAAGGAGTGGCACAATTATTTAGAGATCATGTATTTAGAAACCACGGCATACCCGAAAAGATCATCTCAGATCGAGGACCGCAGTTCATTTCAAAATTCATGAAAGATCTACATACGCTTCTTCAGATAAAAGCAAACCCATCGACGGCTTGGCACCCACAAACGGATGGACAAATGGAGAGGATCAATCAAGAGATAGAACAGTATCTCAGAATCTTCGTAAACCACAAACAAGATGATTGGGCAGAATGGCTTACCCTAGCAGAATTCTCTTACAATAACAAACAACATTCTGCGACGGGATATAGCCCGTTCTACTTAAATCATGGACATCATCCGAGAACACAGGAAGTAGTGAAAGTGGGGGTGAAGAACGAAAATGCGGAAGAATTCGTAAAAAGAATGACAGAAACGAGGAAGAAAGCAGAAGAGTCGCTGCAAAAGGCAGCTGAACAGATGAAGAGACAGTACGATAAGAAGAAAAGAGAAGCAGTGGAATATAGAGTAGGAGATAAGGTGTATGTGGAAGCAACAAATATCTCAACGGACCGACCAGCTAAGAAACTGGACGATAAGAGACACGGCCCGTTCAAGATACTGGAAAAGATAGGCGAATCGGCCTATAAACTAGCATTACCACCGACATGGCGACCCATTCATCCGGTCTTTAACGAGATAAAACTCACGCCATACAAAGAACCGCAATTCCCTTCCCAACAGAAACCTAAACCGATACCGCCGGTAATAGTAGACGGACAAGAAGAATATGAAGTCGAAGAAGTTCTAGACTCACGTCTAAAAAAGGGAAAATTGGAATATTTGGTACATTGGAAGAATTATCCAAAAGAGGAACGCACATGGGAACCCGAACAACACCTAAACAACTCACCAGACAAAGTAAAAACATTCCACGATAACAACCCTAGTGCACCCCGACGGATACGATTCCAATTACATTTCCAACCGTTCAAAAACTTCACAACAACTAGAGTCCGAAAACAATTGTTCAATTGGGAAAACGGAAAAATGGACCCCTACTTTCGAGACGAAAGTCCTGAGGAGGGGGTAATGTCACGACCTGAACAAGAGCGCTAGTTTCTTTTTCATTTTCTTTAAAATCTAATCACATGACAGATACAATATGTTAAGCTGCTGCTATTAGCACGGATAACATAATACTTAGTTATATCAGATCACGTGACCATCACGTGACAAAGAGCCTAGAACTATTACAAAGAACATCAGTCAGCGCCTCATGGCTGACTTTCAGAAACGTATATATAGTGAACACCCATGTACATATTTTCCTTAGTTGTTGATTACTTCTCAATCGATTACTTGTGACGCTACTTGTCGATTTAAGGTCTTCATCCCTCCGTTAGTTCGGTATAAGGGATAAGGCTTTTACATTACCGGCCCGTTTGCTGTTGCCACTGCTGTTGCCGCCTTTCTGCTTTGGCGAGCTTTTGCCGCAAGTCTGCTACTTCGGCGTCTTTCTGGTTTCATCTTTGCTCCCATACCTCATTGTTCTCTGAGATGGCGTGGGAGACTGCTTGCATCACTAGGAATTCTAAGTTCCTGCGCTGCCAGTCTGGTTCCGGCGATGGTCTTCTTGGCGGAGTAGGTGGTAGGGCCTCTCCTAATTTGTTCATGCCCATTCTGTAACGACCAAGAGTTAGTTACTCTGGCGCACAACTAGAACAAGCAAAGAGTAGAGAGATAAGAAAGGGATCATCCCTTAGGTTTCAACAAGTTAGTTGTGAGGATACAACAGGAGGACTCGCTGAGGAGTCTCCTGGATCTATTGAGGTATTTATACTACTACAGGTTGTTTGTATATGTTGTATTATACAGTTGATAAAGCAGTGGCTGATGATGTCAGAGGGCGCAGCCCGTGTGACCAGCTCCACTGTGTGAGAGACTTGTAGCTAAAATAAGAAGAAAGGCAGTGCAGCGCGAGAAAGAGGAGTTTGAACAGAAAGTGCTGCATGGCACAGTGTGAGAAAACTACAGTAAAAGGTTGAAGCGGAGAATGAAAATGAAAGGAAAGGTCCAAAAATGTGTTATTGTAACACATTCCGGGTGTCAATGGCAGTAACATGTCCAGGTTGGTTTCCCTCCACGCGTCGAAGAACATTGTTGTTTGAAGGCGGGTATTGGAATAGGATGATGGGTTCGGGGGTTTCTGTGAGGCAACGATAAACTATAACAAAAACGAAACCTGTCTCCTTCTGCACTTGCAGGGAGTAAGGGGTTCGATGAGCTTGAGGTCGGCAGACGCCAGTAAATATAGCGAGTAGAGGACTTTGAGAGGTAAGCTTCAAAGGTTCTTGTTGAGGAGTAAAGTGGGTAAATTCAGTAATAGAAAACTAAGGAGCCATACATGAATAGGTAAGGCTTTATATAGTGAACTGTTCGTTCCTCAGACCGAAAGGAGAATATACAAAAAGTGGTCTGAGGAATTAATCGGCCAATAAGAAAAAGGGAGAACAACTATTGTACGACTTTTAACTTGATTAATCAGCGGTGAGAGATTTGTACTAATAATAGAGATTTGTTATGCGTGTTCAGGAACCGTATCCTCATGATGAGGTACGACCCTGAATAAGGCATTTATTAGTGTATCCAGACTTTACTGGGGCTTGGAGCTGGTTGGCGAGATGCCTACTACCAGTCCCTACCCAGTGTGCTGGCTGGCTGGGAGCGATACCCAGTCTCTGATCTGTGATATAAAATGGTAGTGATGGTTAAGAAAGCCTATGAGGGCTATGAGAAGTAAAACGGCAAATGATACCTCTAGCCCTAGAGCCAGAGGTGTGACGGGAAAAGCATTCGAGAACCAAGACATAGCGAAGATAGGAAAATAATAAGATGGTCCTTACAGTTTCTTGTTTAATCTCCAAAGGCATACAAGTACGGTTCCCCAGATGATAAGTCTGGATCAACATGTTGTATTGTAAGTTCCTTTTGTCTATCTTTCTCTTTTGGTAAAGGGGTCCTCTTCTGTCCCCTACTACCATGTACGTAAAAGTATTCTAAAAAAGCTAATGTAAAAGGTATAGTACTAAATCTGGGTCCAAATGGTTGTCCAGATGTAGCCGGCTTATTGGGCTCTCAACTCTTCCCCAACTGGCGGACGCAAGTGCGCGGCTTGGTAAGGGGTATACAAAAGTGAAAAGGTAGGTAAAAGTTGTAACTAATAAAACCTCAACAACTCCACATTGTCTCAGTCTCTAAGTACAGGGTTGTGGGGTCGGGTGATAGGAGATAGGGGAATGGTCTCAAAGGATGAGTTCAAGGGAGAGGATTAGATAAAAGTGGTGATGGTAGATGGGCAAGGGTTAGGAGATGTGATAGGAGAAGGAGGTGTGGTGAGGCGAATGTAAAGTTTGAGTAGTGAGAAGAATAGGAGAGTGATGATGGGAAATAGGATGATGATGATTGTAGCCTTTGTTTGGCTCATTCAACCAGGTGCTATACCAGCTTTCAATTATATAACGCAACCACTATAACCGAACTAACGGAGTGGCAACGTCGAATCTTAGCAAGTAGTTGAGCAAGGTATATAAAGAGTAAATTGAAAGCTGAGGTATGTACAATGTTGAGTAGCTACTTATATATATATGTAGGAATGTGTCAGCCTTGAGGCACTGACTGAGAAACATGAGGAGAAGGCATGTGTGCTGAGTAAGTAGTCACGTGACTTAAGGTCACGTGACAAGATAAGATAAATACTATGTATTGATTAGATAAGGTGAAATGAGTGTTTCTACGTCAGAGTTGGATAGATAAGGGGATGGATTAGGTTCTGGAGTTTGAGATCGTGACAGAGTGTCCTCGGTTTCCTTGGTTTCCATATAATGTATTGCCACCTTTCCATGTGGAATCTGTTACCAGAGAAGTATCCCATTCCTGTAGCCCTTTCCTAGTGAACTGTCATCAGTGTGGAGACAACCCATATTGCTTACACTGCACTACCATACAACACAAGACTACTGTACTCGTAGTCTACTCTCCCTTGCAAACCCCAAAAGGCAAGCCTTATATGAGGACACCTAATATGGATATGGAAGTCGATATCCCAAGGGACTGAGCAGTAGATGCTCCCAATCTTGTTTACATATACCGTGTCCCTGTACTGAACCATACGTAACGTTGTTTGAAATTCCATTGATCTTGTGAAGGAGCATAGATTATCTGATTAGTTGCCAAGTTCATGAGTCAACTTTCAGAGCAGGTTTAACGTTTGCATAGTGACTAGAGTCGAACAACATGTACTGGGATGTTGAATATGACTCATGATATTCGTATACGTTTCTTCACAGGCGTAGACATAGCCAAAATGTGCTCCCGTTCATCGCCCAAACCAACCGCTGGATGACTTCCCTCCAGTTCTGAGTCCTCGTAGATACCAGGTAATAGAAGCACGTCTGGTGAGCTGCTTGGTAACCATATTTCTTCTATCTCGGTATCGTCACCGAAAACGTCCATACCAGGGCTAGGGCTGGTATTCCGAAGAAGGTTTGACGGACGACCGAATGCTCGGGACGCAGTTCTCTTTCCCTTGACTTTCACTGGAGTGGCTGCAACCAAAGTGACTGCCTGATTTGCATCGCGTTTGGAAGCCAATTTCCTGGCAGGTCCACTGCCTCCATCTCTAATATCTGCCTGGCTCTTTGTCGGCTTGATGACTTTTTCCTGGGTCTTCTTCCCTTTAAATACGCGTGACATGCTGATCTCCCTGCTGAGCGCCCGTTTTATAGTTGCGCCTGAGGTTGCTGCTCCCGAGCGTCTCGCGTCGGCATCTTGAGCAAGTGAGATGGAGAGTGATCGTGAGCGCGAGCGCGCGTCGGAGTGTTGACGTGATGATGGGGAAGTGTGCCGAGAGGACTTGTCAGGAAGAGGCCCTCCGGGATTTGCTCTATAGCGCTGTCCGAGGGAATGAGGATCGAAGGGGCGAGGTTCAACGGATGTATTGGAAGGGGAAGGAGAACGAGATGCAGCGGACGAAGTATCGTCGGAGAAGGGGGAGTTTGGGAAGACCTTGGAGCGAAGTAGAGCACACGCCTCAGGGAGCAGATGTTTGAACCTACACCATCACACACGTTAATGTATACCAGGAAATGCAATTGAACATCACGCACTGAACTTCAACGATGTCCTGGCAGAACAGTTGCATCCAGTCGTATGCATCTGTTGGATTCTGTTGAATTCGTGTGGATTGCGCTTGTTCATTGAGGCTAACAGAGTCAACAAGTTGCCACATAGATAGTTTATCCATGAAGGATTCCAGACGTTCCTCTACGGTGGGGGTGATAACCTTTGCCTTTACTCTAGTATGCTTTGATTTTTTCGGTGAAGTCGTCGGTGCAGGATGTATGGTTACCGGAGGTAAAGGAATGGAAGGACCTGGGAGAGAAAGTTTGAGAAGGTACAGAAGAATTTGGAGCTGAACTCTGCCGCACATTACATGGTCAGAGTTGTAGGTATATTTAGGACATTAAATGGCACATACTCGCGTTTCTCCAAGCGGTCCAACCATCCTATCCTCCATTTTTCTTCGATCATTACTGCATCCTCACTGTTTGGACGCGTTTGATCTTCGTCGTGGTCAACTTTCTCGTAATTCAGTGCGAACCACATCATATCTTCCTCTACTTCACCTTCACCGCCATCATTCGCAAGGATTTGCGGTAACTCGTCGTGATATTTACTAGAAGATGACCGTGCTGAGAGGAGAAGAGGCTCTAACAGGGCGTGTAGTGGGTATGGACAGTCGTTTATTTCTGAAGACGACGCGACTTGTACGCGTTGAAGAGATGGAATCAGGAAATGAAGCGGCATAATAGACTTGATAGACATGTTTAGTCCACCTGCTCTACTGATGACATATTATCTGAACAAGCTTACCTCTGGAAGCCAGAGAAACTGAAGATATGTGCGAACCACGTATTGCTCGGGTGTCTCTTCACTGATATCGTTGAACGGGTACTCGCGATTAATGGATTTCTCTTGTGCAACAGACCATTTCAAGCTGTTCTGACAGACCAGCGATAACTCTGATACAAAAGACATGTAGTATTAGGTGAAACTTTAAAGCAGGTGGTGGTTAATGACAGAGCCGATATTGGGAGAAATATATTTAATAATTATTTCGACGCTTTCTGCAGTGCCACATTTCGACTCGGCGTCGTGGCTGTGCTATTTTCTTCGACATGTCCTCCACTGAGCTTGAAGAATCCAGTGCTGCACCACCGGCTACTTTCAAGTCTCTAGGCTTGATTGATTCTTTGCTGCAGGCTCTCGAACAAGTAAACCACAAGGTTCCCACTGATATACAGACAGAGGTCATCCCACATGCGCTAGAAGGAAAAGACATCATCGGCGTCGCTTCAACAGGATCAGGGAAAACTGCTGCATTTGCCCTACCTATTTTGCAAAAATTATGGGAAGAACCAAAGGGTCTTTTTGCTTGTGTGCTTGCGCCAACACGTGAACTGGCGTATCAAATTTCCCAACAGTTTGAATCTTTGGGTTCCGATATGGGTGTGCGGTGTGCTGTGATAGTAGGAGGGGTGCCCACCGTTCCTCAAGCTGTGGCTCTTGCAAAGAAACCTCACGTAGTCGTAGCTACACCTGGGCGACTACTGTGGCATCTGCAGGAAACTAAGGGGTTCGGTCTAGCAAACCTTAAATTTCTGGTAAGCATATCACAGATAATCAGATGTAGTCACTACTAACCCCCGTCAAGGTTTTAGATGAAGCTGATCGTCTTTTGGACATGGATTTTGGTCAAGTTATTGACGACATTCTCAAAGTTATACCAAAACAAAGAACTACATACCTCTTTTCTGCAACAATGACGAGTAAAGTAGCGAAGTTACAACGGGCCAGTCTTAAAAATCCAGTTCGGGTTGAAGTTGCGGGGAAGTGAGTCATTTGTGAGTCTAACTTCTTGTTTGTAGGCTAATATTGTTTGGGAACAGGTATCAGACTGTATCAACTCTACTCCAATATTATCTCTTTATCCCACTCAAAGATAAAGATGTCAATCTTGTATATCTAGTAAACGCCCTTGCACAAAACTCTATCATCATTTTCACCAGAACTGTACACGATGCCGCAAGGTAACTACTTGTCAACTTCATTTCGCACATATGTCGCTAAAATTTTGATAAGGTTGACCATCGTTTTACGAACATTGGGTTTCTCAGCAGTCCCATTACATGGCCAGCTTAGTCAGAGTCAGCGCCTTGGTGCATTAGCTAAATTCAAAAGTGGTGGTCGAAAAATTCTTGTTGCTACTGATGTTGCCAGTCGGTCCGTATGAATCTTGGCATTGCATCTTCACATCTGATATACTCTACTCTTCCAGTGGTCTAGATATCCCTTCGGTCGATATCGTGATTAACTTCGACATACCAACACATTCAAAAGATTACATCCACCGAGTAGGCCGAACAGCTCGTGCTGGTCGCTCAGGAAAATCGATAACACTTGTTACACAATACGATGTAGAGCTCGTCCAACGCATCGAAAGCGTCATAGAAAAGAAGATGGAATTGTGGCCAACGGAGAAAGAGGAAATCGCGCTACTTACCGAACGAGTAAACGAGGCTGGTAGAATTGCTGCCAATGAGTTGAAGGAGCAGGATAGTAAAGGTGGACGGAAACGTGGACGATCAGATGGTGGGGGTAGGGACGACAAGGACAGAGACGACGACGTTGTGGAGGCTGGTATGCCGGTCAACAAGAAAAAGATGAAGAATCGAAGATGATGACTGAGCTTGGAATCTTCAAAAACTCGCATTCACTCCATGAATGCATACAGCCCAGGTCACGACGGATAAACATACTTGCCTCACCTGCAGGTACTTACCACCAGGATTGGGTACAGCATCAACGCTCGGACTTAGGTTGATGCTGTCCATTTCTGAATATTAACTTGCCGCAGAGTGCTAGCTTTCAACTCTACAGTCGTATCAATGGTTATTTTCTAAAATACTGATTATCAGGTCTTTCTTGTTGTCCTATGCGTTTTCCCTATCCAATTAATCTATGTGTTATAAAAGATTACTCGGCATATTTGCATAGTGACGATAAGGCTGTCAGCAACGGTATTTGGTCCTAGGACAGGTTTTTCGGGCAATGACGATTTTTTCTCTAGTACGAGTACAACAAGATAGTCTATTCACCCACGAATTCTCATCAAGTACCACATATTCCCCCGCGAATCTCCTGGACAATTCAGGCGTTCTAGTTGACTCGAAGCCGTGATACAATATGTGACAAATTATGACAAGCATGATGCAGATGACAACTCCCTTGAACACATGTCTTGTCGATGGTAACTATTGTTCTCGCAGCATACTTGTTCGGCATTACTAATTGCCGTTCAGTCAGGCGTGTACCCGAGTTGCAAGAAGGGCATATGCCAAATTGCACCACTGCAACGACGACGTTGATTCAAATCAAAGGGAACGGTCACACTGGAGACACCAATGTTGAAGCCAATGGTGGGCAGTTGCATTGGCTCAGCCGAATCAATGGCGACAGCATGAGAGAAAGACGAACACACTGATATGCTTTTATTACCCTCTTCAAGAGAGTGCTTTTAAGTTGTTCATAATTTCATCGTACCTGCAAAACGAGCATGTTTAGGACCTCGGCGGCGTAAAGAGCAAGTCCGAACGCGCCCTAAAATTCGAGGAACAACGGAGATGTCATATTTGGAGCTTTGAGACCGTCCTAGCGGTTATGAGCTATGCAGTATGCGAAGGATTGCACGTTTTGGGGGTGGAATTTGGATTTCCACTGGAGAAAGATATGTACGGGAGGAGGGGATCAAACCGAGGGGAATCCTGATATTCCGACCCTCAAAAAAATAGCCGACCCCGACGTAAAATGGATCCAGAGCTACCAGTCTGCGAGGGCCCAGATTACCGTGGTATTCATATCTGCCATATCTGCTGCACCTATCACTCAAGACGTTTAGGACAGTTACCAAGGAGACAAGTACAGCACTTCAATTCTTCACTGATTGTGATGATGCCAAACATGTTTATAGTCCTGGTGACACGATGATGCTGAGTCTTTTTCCTTTTATGAAGTTCCTGTGCACGTGCAGACGGTTCCAGGTTCATGAAAGGTGGGAATGCGGGCATACCTTGAATGACTATATTGTCAACGACATTGGCAGCGGCGTCAATTGCAGTAGCTGTTTTTGGAACAAGTTTATGAACAACTAACGTCCAGTGACGCAAACTACCCTGTACGAGGCTAGAGAGTCTGTGGTTGTATGACACGCTCATGGTACTGTGATATCTACCAGTACCAGTCGTGAATCAAGGCACATGTAATGGTAACGGTATACAGCCTCACCGTCATGATCATGTCAGCACGGACAACGAAGGTAGAAAAGGACCCTTTTGTAAGACGAAGCGGCACAAGAATAGAAGGTATCTTGAAGAGCCCGCCAAGAAGTGATTCCTGTTGGGTAGAATTGAGAACTTCGATATTCTGACAGATAGTGATATCACGAAGTGAGGCTGTCCACTGGCATGAGGAAGCGTCGGCAGCATGGTCACGTTTTTGCTACACTGAAGAGTTATCTGCCTTAGTCCTCTTCCGCGTAGGTTCATTTTGGTTTGGGCAATCTAGGTGCCAGACACCCTAATCAGTTAGAATCGAGATCGTATCACTATTTCAACTCGTCAAAGCAACTGGCCAACAAAATAATATACCGGTACCTGGTATTGCAGTGCAGCAAATGCCTATTCAGGTAAGACGTTAGGCGTAAATGCGCTATGGGTGGAGCTTAATGGCCCTTGGAGTTGTGTGTTCCACGATTCGACCGTCAATGCCTCAACAGATCAATGACTTCGACAGCCTCCATGCATGATTCCCATGTCAGAATATTTGTCAAATCGGCAATAATAACACTCCCACTATCTGCGTGGCGCAAAAAATGTACAAGGATGCCAGTCTCGATTAGGAAACTCTTGTCGTTTGCATGGAGCGATCCTTCGAGGTGACCCAACGCGGTGACCCAAATTCGCCTAGCGCATCAGGTAGATGATCTCTATGTTACCATTCTCAATTCAAGGTCATGATAGTTAATCATATCTCTGTCGTGCTCTTTGGATTGTTCAAAGCTCCTTCTATAACCAGCCTTGATGGTCGGGTTTATTTCACACTTATATGCTAACTTTTGGCTAGACTCAAGATGCAACAGTTTTCTCATGAAACGAAGATCAACAAAATATCGAGCCCTAGTAAATATGGTCCGTGTCTGGAAGCAGATGCGAACTAAGTACTCTTCTTTTTCCACCGACTCTAACAGGCCCTCCAGGCGGCTTTTTCAAAGATTCAGATTGACGGGGCTGCAGCCGAAAGATATAACGCCATCTGTAAAAAAATTTAACGGTAAGCGGGAATCACAGAATGAGTCTAGGAGGTCAGGAGGCATGCGTACTGAAGTTGTTGTTCTCGCAGCAGACGGGCTCGGCATTGCTGAAGATATACAATTAGAAGTGACTTCGATACTATTGAACAAGCCGACATACCAAGTAGCACCGCTCCCAACGCCGACGACGCTAAGAGGATCGCAGGTCAAACCGATGGGCACAGCAACACTGGACGCAGAAATGCCCAGAATGCCCATGAGAGTGGAAATGGCAGGGGTGACAGTGCTGGATACACTGTTGCAACATTGGACAGGTGCGGTATTGCACTGGCTAGCAGGCGTAGTAGCGATGACCCCAAGGGTGAAGGTAGCAACGATGAAGGCAGGTTTGAAGAACATTGTGATTGTGAGTGATGTTTGAACTGATTGTTCGAGTGAAGAAAAAAGTAAAGTACTGGACCTGCCTTTATATGCTTTTGAAAATCGTTCCCCTATTTGGTCGGTCTCCAGAATGGACGGTTAGATAAAACTTTTGGGCGAAGGATCAAGAGCATGGGAACACAAGTGTCATTACGGAAGCAATCAAGCGACATAAAGAGGTCTAGAGGAAAAGCCAGTTAGCCGACCCAGAATTCCTACTTGTCATTAGCTGTCAGCTCCACTCCAGCGGTCGTCATTCTCATATATGGAGACATTCAATCACCTTCTTTGATTCATTTCCTATCACCCGTGGTGTTAATTACCCCGTACAGGCCAGTACTACACGTAAATGCTACCAACGAAGATCCTGGAAGGCTACACCTACTGCGACCTGTCAACATGAGATACAGTACGAAGAGATTAGCTATGAAGCAAATATATGTAGTGGAAAGGCTCACAGTACAAATTGAGTGTTCGCGGGTACACGAAAACTCGCATAGGGGCCAGGTCCTGCCAAGCGTCGCGTTTATCCGTAGTTCGGTCACGGATACACGCTCAAAGATGACTGACATGCGCTCCAAGGGACATACCTCGTTGGGTACTGACATGCTGCTCTGGCTTCCACGGTATGGCCCTTGTGGCGTAAATGTGTCACAGGAACTCAAGTAGCATATCAAAACCATGGTAGGCAGTGCCTGAGGAAGATGATGCTCGCGAGCTTTTACAAAAACTTGAATTCCTTTCCTTGTTACGCCGCCTCATCAGGCTAGGGGGGATGAGTTCACCGTTTTTGGCGGATCCAGGGAGTAAAAGTATGACCACCATAACGTTACAGCATTGGCAGAGAAGCGCGGACTGACAGGTGTCTCTGGAAATGATGGGTATTTTCATAGCGTCGCCTTCGCGTGCGTAATGCATAAGCAGGGGAAGAGCGGTTCATCGAGACAGTGAAATATACTTATGGAGCTTGACCATTGCAAATAGAGGTCAGAAGACTCTGAAGGGCGGTATAGGTACATTTTCCGAGGATTCGTAAGATGGGGGGATGAAATGAAAAGGAAAAGAACCAGTCTGGGAATAAGAAGCAGTTCAGCAAAGGTCGACCACGAGTAACACAGTTTTTGATTTACCATTTTTTTCAATTGTACAGGCCTTAAGAACTTCGAACCAGAACGGGTCAAAATAGAATGTTTCGTGGAACTGTGGCTCGGCGCTCAACGTTCATGAGCGGTCAAACTTCAGAAACTTCGATAGGTCCAGTACAGGGGAAGGTACCATCACCACGCGCCAGTGGAGCACCTCTATGACACTACGAATGTATGAAGGAAGTGGGTTATGAGGAAAATGCTTTGTTACGTTGACGGAAAGTATACAGACACTAGCACCTGGTTTACTGTACTCGGTTGCAAATGGAATCCCCGTGCGATGCTGATAGGCTACTTGAGGTCCTCGGGAGTACCGGGCAACCTCATGACGCAGTTAACGGAGACCAATTCGGTTCCTGGGCCATAGTCTAGGCGGAGAGGAGAAAGCGGCGACCTCGAAAGAAAAGAAGGTATTCTACCAAGGTACTGGCACGCATCGTGACTGAGACTTAAACCAGGTGTCAAATGAATGATATAACATATTACCGCTGCGAATTCAGTGCGTGGATGTACAGCGGAAGCAACAACAGTAGTTTCCTTCTACGGTAGAGCACGTGTTTCATTATTAAGCTCAGCCACTCGACGAGGCCGCCGTCAGCAGCATCGGGAAGGACCCAGTTATTCGACTCAAAGGGCCCTAAGCCCCAGCATGCTATGGAGTCTTCCACTTCAGTTAGCTTGTGACTAAACTTCAAACCTTAAGTACCGGTATGTTATCTTTTAAACTTTATAACGAAACGCAATCATCTGAGCCAGCCACTTGGGAACTTAGAGCCGCATTCCAAGATCCTCGTTCATGTGCGTGCCATTGAACCTCCCTCTGGTGTCACGATTCTACATATCATGATCCTACATACCAAATCCATGAACAGCGAATTTCTACACTAAAAGCCGTATCACATGAGTTTTAATGTCCTGACATGTCCAAAACTGACTTTTGGTAAATCATCCTCATGGCCTGAGTTGCATGTTGTAGGTATCCATGGGACCAAAATATCTAGCAGGCCAAAATAAAATGTAGATGGATATTCCAATGAGGAGAGGAAGCGAGTCGAGGCAATAGAAGTATACTTTGCAACACAAATGCTTCAGTATTGAGACCATTGAGGACTGACATGTGCGCACAAACCTTCATGAGTTAGGAGATAACCACCATTTCCCTGTGCCAGTTCTATCACACGATAAATACATCGGACCTTGAGGAAGGCCAACATCAGCTTATTCAAAGGCGTTGAAGATACAACAAACTCACCATGAAAAAGAACGAAGAAAAGTGCAGAAGTTTCATGATTGGCCCCCACTTCTGGTCGTTCAGTCTGATGCCTTCTTGGACGATACTCCTGTGTGCACAAATAACGAGCAAAATAAACAGGGCAAATGACAAGGTCTGGAGCACGAGGCCCACGAGAAGAATGCTTGCTCCAAGATGGTCTGTTGTCGCGTTGGTCGAGCCTTCCAGTCCACCTCCACTACTCTAAGAAAAGGGAGATATGAGCGTTAGAAGGTACAGGCCATAAAAACAAATGGGTTGCGCAAACCTGGATAAGGAAAGTTGTTATATCGCTCGCAACAAAAATGCGGGCCACTCTTTCAGGCTTAATCAAAGAATGATGCTGATCCACACACTGAACAAATAATCGACCGTAGAGGATATAGTTGAATGCCAAGTAAGCTGCAGGAGATAGAATAATAAAGAGCTGTTGGATCATGAAGAGACTCAGAGAATTTTGATTCGTAGCAAGAGGGATGCGAACAAAAAACCCGGGCACTCATGACTGCAGGGCGGTTAGACAGAAATTCATCCATAAATACCGTGAACTCACAGTAGGCTGCGATAGGGAGATATAGGCCCCACCAGCTCCTTGCGCTAACAAGTCGAGACAACAGGGAAGCGCTGGCAACGAGATAAAGACCTCCTGCTACTGCTGCGGCGATCTGATTGGGAGTATAATCTAAAGACAGGCTTATCAGCCACGGCGTTGATACTACTAAGGAGCCGTAACACATACTAAACACCACCGACACAATGGTTGGCCGATGAGCGTCTGAATTCGTAGTGGTGGTATTTTCTACACCGCTGATCAGCTTGATTTCACAGACAAAAAGTGGGCAGGGTGGCTACTCACGAGCTGTTGCTGTAGTGACATATAGAGCGACAACAAAGAAAATTAAAATCACTCGAAGAGTCGTCAGGTTTGAGAGGATGAACATGATGCAAATTGCGAGTAAGCTAAAGATGCTGAAAACGTCGATTTTTCTTGACAGAGATGCTGAGTGGGTCGCCAAAGAGTGCCTAGAAGTATTTATACAAAGATCAATGGATCAAAGTGTACATGAGAATGTCGCCAGGTATTGAACTGCGGTTGAGTGTAAACCTCACTTGTGAGGGTAGCCCATTCACCACCTTTGACATTTCGACATGCGCAGTTGCGAATTTAGTTTGTGCTGGCATGGTTGCAGCACTTGGACAGCGGTATAGTACAGCAAAATTCCAGCTTGTAATTTGAGGTCCCTGTTCTGATTTTTTTTTTCAAAGTGCAACGAAAGAAAGCAATTTTTGGCCTTACACTGGAATATTGGGCAGACGCAAAAACAAAGATAAAGGTTGCAACGACCCAAAATGCCACATACGAGCGGAACTTTCGGACAAGAACGCCCTTGATATCTATCATTTATGCCAGCACTGAAAGGCGTCAAAGACATATACCTGCGAAGAATACACGATAATTCGTCGTGAACAATGATAATATTTTTAAATAGTGTAGACCAACCTGGTTATCCTTGAATGTGTGTGACCCAGTCCTTTTCCAGAGGCCATCACGATGTCATGGCAAGCACCGCGTTGTAGTTCATCAATCACGAGCACTCCTGCGCATCCGCCGACCCGCTATCTAACTAAACAAAGGACACGGATACAAGTATTAGCGTAACTATACCACAGCTTAATAGTAGATAGACAGACCCAGTCATCGCGATACTTGTGTCTGAGATGCTTAGGACGATAGACGTCGCGTTGAGAAAGATTGTGACCAGCTATCCTTCAGGTCACAACAACATACCCAAAGTGCATGGCATGCTGCGTAGCTTCCTGTAGTGCACTAATAATTGATTCACAGTTTTATTCTGAAAGTCAAGACTCATCAATGGTGACAGAACCAGCTGTATGTGCGCAGTAACAAGTGCGCAGCCAGCCCAGGTGTTCGTCCTGGGAGAGCCACAGAACGTTATCGCCAGAGCCTCATAGTTGCGATTAGGAAAGGGTCCGACGAGGCAGTGCAAGACTGGGCTCAGAATGTTGTTACTGTCAGACACAGAGCCGGACATTGTATTCACCTCTCAGAAATATGCAGACGTAGCTTATTCACTTGAATTTCCTTAAAATTGGCGTATTTCTGACGATCTTTCTTCTTGCTGTGATTTGGATGGCCGCGTGCAATAGTGTGGTTGTTCTAAAAGGTGTGTTTTTCGGTATGGACCGGCGAACGGCCTGCATGAGAGAGGAGTGCGCAGCCGCTGGAGTTCAATATTCAGATGCCGGCGGCCTGAAGGACTCCGTAATCTCCACGCCGACTCATTCAGCATGAGACCATTCTTATTCTTATTTCAAGGTTTTTTGTTTACAGTGATCATATCTGTCTGAAGGATAGGAGCACAATTCCCCAGCCATTGACGGTGCGCTGTTCCTACTGATAACACTTGTTGTACACCATGTCAGCCTTAGAGCTGCATCCTGGGAGCTCTAGCAGCACGGGCACGCGGTCGAGCCCTCGCACAATCCCTGCGAAGCGTGCAAAAGCAGCACAGGCTTGCACCTCTTGCAGAAAACATAAGACGCGCTGTGAAATGCTAGATGGTGACAGTTGCGGATACCAGTGTCATCGCTGCAAAGTTCTCAATCTTCCTTGCTCATTTGAAACTTCTGGAGCGCCCTGCTCGGAGAATGACCTTCCCCCTGCTACGCGCGCGCGTTTGAGCGACGATAATTCGACATCTCGACATCACCCGTCTCCATCATTTCCAAAATTTGCTCAAGACATTGCCATGGATGATTCTGTATCAAGCTCTCCGTGGAATACCAGTAATACAGAGCAACAACCTCTCACCACTCGCCCTATGCCCCAATATAGATCCCAATCAAACGACGACATGGATCTTCTACATCCTGAGGGCTTATTTCCAATTCAACAACGCCCCTGGGGTTTTTTGAAATTACCTGGTGGCTTTGATGGCACTACCGTTCCAATGTTGGCCATGCAAGCCCTTACGAGAGCAGTTCCCAACGAAGAGCCTTTGAAGAATAAAGTCGAAATATCTCTCTTGCATATCCTTGGAAAAGATAAAGTTAAGCATTTACTAGATATGTAAGCATGCTAGTCATTTAACAGCATACATTGACCTATTTTGTATCAGATTTGAAGAACGCTATAGTCCATGGTTAAACTTGCAACCTAGCCAACGAACCGAGGGACCCCTTTTAAGACTTGCACAATGTTGTGTCGCATCTAGACATCTAGACCTACCCATAAAAACCATCGTGGCACCACAGTTATACAGACTAGCCGAAGAAGTCGTTTTCAAGCAAATATTTAGCCCTTTACCATCTACCGACTCCATACACGCCATGCTTATTCTGTCAATGTGGGAGCCTGTAGATGATCCCACCCATAGGGAGACGAAGGACGGACGTCTCATGGCTTCCTCAGCTGTCAGCATGGCGATGAACCTTCGCTTAAGCGAGGCTATGGTATACGCAAAAACACTGCGTGAACAGACGAAAGACCCATCTGATACCTCTGCTGCTGAGTTGGCGGAGGCAGTCGATAAAGCTCGCCTGGTTTGTTTCTTTGTCTTAGATCTTTATCGTTCATTGATCACCTGATTAACCTTAGTGGTTTTCTCTCACTAATTCAGAATCAATGTAAGTATTTTCCAAAGATTTATACTTTCCTGTAGTTCTCAGTTCTCGATCTCTCTTTAGGTTATGCATTGGCACGAGACGAGACCCGATGTCTAGATGTAAGGACCTCATCCATGATGCAATCGATTCCTCGTCATTATCCACCATTGGAGCAGGACGAGATTTGCGCTTATCGCTGCTGTCTCAGATATTCGCGACTACGGAGCATGGTTTATCGATCCGACTACTTTCTATTGGAGATCTAGGCAAATTTTACAAAGAGATTCTCGATACGTTGATGAAGATGGACAACTTGGAAAGACTCGCATCGCCCTTATCAGGTATGCAGTCTTTATGAGAACAAGCTTTTCCGACAACTTATACTGCGTCCTAACCTAGTTCTCGCAGAACACGAGGTGTTTTATTTCCACATGCTTCAAGTCATCTATCAGTGGTGCCGTTTGTTATTCCTAGTTCATGCTCTTATGGAGACGAAGAACATCATATCGAAGCACCATCATGAGATCCCATGGTTCCTCCTAGCGGAGCACAACGGCATTAACCTTGCAAGGAGTTGGGGTCAACAAGCCCTCGTGCTCTCTGAGGGAATTTTAATAACATCTCTTTCCCGCCCTGAGCTAGCTCTCCTCAGCTCCGCCCCAGATAACTTCTTCTCTATGATTACCCTCGCCACCTTCTTCGTCGTCTTGTCGAAATGGTCCATGCTCCAAAACACAGGCGAACAGCTCCCTGGCTCAAGCGATAGCATATTAGCGAAGACGATTGAACGTTTATCGCAGGTGGCTTGTTCTCCTGATCATGCCCCAGCGAGATGCGCCCAACTTATCAACGCATGCGTGTTGAGTTTCAGGCGGCGAGCATCTGAAAAGACTGAGTCAGAGCCTCTCGAGCGTAGTGCGCTAATTTTGGAGCATTTCAATACGGCTGCACGAAACTTCACGGAAAGAGTGGCGTCGACGTCCTCTCCTTCCCCTTTCGTCACTGGAGAAGGCATGTCTCAGGTTTTTCCTTCGTCGTTCCCTATAAACGATCCGAACTATTTTATGAATTCTGACATATTCCTGGACAACAACTTCTGGGCGTCGTTCATGGCGAACCTCTCTGAGGGTTCGTCTGGTTGAAGAAGAAGGTACGGTATTCTTTCTAGTGTTCAGTTTTTTCATATAAGGCTCATAACCTGATATTCATTTTTTATTCAAGAATTGAAATGCGATATACAGTTGATACAGAACACTCTATATAGACTTTCGATTATGTATCCATATACACTCACCTCATTGTATTCCTTAGGACCCTCAGCGTACAGCCTGAATGATCTGAAAAATGGATCTTATCTCCTGAGCAAAATGTAATGATGCTATGCCCTGGAACTGCGGAGCGAGCTTATCGTTTATCAGGACAGCATGGTGTAGACCTGTCTAGACGGTTGCTGGGCCGCGGGTCGCAGCGAAGTTGATAGCTTTCTGTGGCATGATGTTGGGCATGCGCCTGTAGATTCAGAATAATGTTATCCAACACCACGGAAAAACATTTCAAGACTGCTGAAGCTTCTGAGGCTTGCAATTGTCGCTAGTATGCTGTACCAGTAACTCCATGTAGACAGTTGTGTTGAACGGTTGCCGGACCGCCAGTAACCCGGACTTAACTAGTATTTGTGTTAGAATTTAACAAGCTCAGCGCCTCCTAGTTCCTTTGACTCAGACCTGCAGTAAACAGGTATAGCTTATCTGCACTGACATCGTGTAACAACCTTCATTGCCTATCAGACTTAATATACGAAAGCATGTCTTCGTCCAATATCAGAGTGGTCGTCAAACTCCCATACAACCGCCCTGAGCACCCTCACCGCGAACCCCCTAGAGTGCGTTTAGCATCTTCACCTGCTGAAATTTTACCATTCACATATGAATCTTTTAAGTTCAGATTGAGTGGAATGCAGAAAAGGCCAACGTTCTGTGGGAAGTAATCGCTCTGTCGAGGACGAGCGATAACGGCGGGACAGATTGTAAGCAACCTAGTTCCACGTTCAACGTCTGAGATCTCCTTACAATCTTATCATGGCGCTTTTTCTTTAGGGAAAGGCCTCGCCGCACACCTAGAGGTGCCTCTTCCTTACCTGCTGTACCGCGCTCAAGCAAGATATGAAGAAGACCTACGTGGCCTTCAAGACATCAAAGGTGTACTGAGCCCTACTTCCGGACAGCCAATAACAAAAGTAAGCGAAGAACCCTCAGCGCCGGAACCTTTATCAATTCGAATCCCACAAAGACGACCGAGTGGAAGCGCAGCTAGACTCTCTGCACTTTCCTCGTCGGGTCGAATCTCTACGCCGCTGGGGGTACGTGCTCGTCTAAACTCTCTAGGCCACCATACCCCAGCACAGCCCAAGAAAGCCTCGTCTTCGTCTACTTTGACTTTACCAAAGAAAATTCAATCCCACTTGCGCCCAGCTTCTGAGTCTTCCTCTGACGAGACCGATTCTGATGACGAGCAACTCGCCAGGGAGGAAGAAGCCGATAGAAAGCACGAAGAGCAGGAAACTTTGGATCGTAAACTAGCAAATCTCCAGAAGTTGATTACAAATGATGCTTTGGGACTTGTCAGCTCACCAGAGTCCAAAGGAAAGAGCAAGGAGATCACACGTGGGCGGTCTATTTCTGCCCTTCCTCGGCCTCTCCATGAGAGTTTTCGCCAAGACGAGGTGAACAATCGCGATCATAGTGCTAGTGTGTCTAGTGCAAGCTCTCCTCGGGAATCACTTCCATCCATATCCTCGCCTCCACCTGAGTCTCAGCCGCACTCTCCAATGAGCAGACACATTTCATCCAGTAAATCTTCCAGTCCACCTGCACTGTCCTCACGGAATGCAAAGGGCCAACCTCATATGCGCTTTGGGGCTTTGGTCGCTCAAGCAAACGCGAGCGAGCAGGAAAGCAGTCAAGGGTCCTCTGCTTCTAGCTTCAGCGACATAAGTGGTCTGTGTAACATAACCGTGCATTGTATCAGCTAGTGTAACTCATGCTCGATTTTCAGATGCAAGTCTCTCTGCATCTGCTTTAGAAAGTGCGCTGCTATCAAATATCCGAGGCGGTGGGTCTCGATTGTGAGTCGTGCATGTAATATGATCCTTGTTTCCCAACTGACGTGAGCCTGTATATAGCTCTGCTATCGCAAGAAGTCGGTTCAGTGGTCGAGGCATCCGCCAGTAGCAGTGTTAGAATTACGATTGCCTGGCTAACATGATGAGACCACACTTGATTACCAAGTGTCCGGATTTTGCTTATGATTTGTTGACGCCTACTTACTACAGGACATGTCGACACTTATTAATTACCCGTATTATTCCCTTTGTTCAAGTACTTCTGTGCAGTTCTAGCACCTTCCATATTGCTTGCGTGTCTTCATTGTGCCAAAGTGCTGAAAGAGACAAGGGAAATGCAATTGTAACCGCGAAGTACCTGTATTCTACTCATACGATCATCCTGATCTGGACCAACTTCCTCGAACTTCGACCATCACATTCGCGACTCTACAGCCAAATTTGCTATTAGCTTTTTCATTTCTTCCCCTTTAAAAGCCCTGTTGCTCCTACGATGGAACTGACATTTATTAATGACCTCGGCCAACCTTTCGTTGTCGAGATCGACCCAAATATGGAGCTAGAGAATGTTATGGCTCTCGTCGAGGCCGAAGTGAGCCCACTTGGGTCTACCCAGCAGCGACGATAATAAAAACATTAACAATGGAATTCTTGTTTAATCGCAGTCCGGCGTGCCAGTCAGCGAGCAAAGCATATCGTACGAGAATAGGGAGCTGAGTAACCCAAAGGCAACGATGCGGGAATGTGGAGTGAACGATAAAGCGATACTCTTGCTCAGGCGAAAGGTGGGGCGAAGTGCAGGTGGCAGGTAAGCATATTTCGTTTTCTTCTCATCCACTCTCGTGGTCTCCCTTTTCACAATGCGCGCTTTCAAGGCCGATAGAGCAGGATGCAGAGATGATGCGTTTACAGATACTCGGCGACCCACAGCTCATGCGCCAACTCCAAGAAGTGTGTATAGTCTCATGTCCTTTGTGATCTGATTCAGTTGCTCATTAGACATCGTTCATTCATAGACTCAGCCGGAAGTGGCAGCTGCTGCACAAACAAACCCTGCAAGATTCGCTGAACTCCTTCGTCAGACGAGAGACCGTCAGTACGAGGCAGAACTTGCCCAGCAACGCGAGGTCTCGCGGCTGAATGCGGATCCATTCGATGTCGAGGCCCAGCGCCGTATTGAAGAGGCCATTCGTCAACAGGCGGTTATGGAGAACATGGAGCATGCGCTTGAGTACGCACCAGAGAGCTTTGGAAGGGTTACGATGCTTTAGTAAGTCTGGTTTATCTGACCTTGGTACAAATATCGTGTGGATATATCCCTCCCTCCAAAGTATTCCTGTGGAAGTCAACTCGAAACCAGTCAAAGCCTTCGTTGACAGCGGTGCGCAACAAACTATCAGTGAGTCTCACAGAAGTTCCGCGCATATATTCACTGTGTTGACTTTATATCTTTACAGTGAGTCCAGAATGTGCCGAAGCATGCGGGTACAATCCTTCCCCTATTCATTCAGTGTGGACGTGAAATGTGATATATTTCTTTCATAGTATAATGCGGCTCGTCGACCAAAGATTCGCAGGCATCGCTCGTGGTGTGGGAACAGCAAATATCTTGGGTCGAGTGCACAGTGCCCAGCTTAAACTCGCTGAGCTACATCTTCCATGTTCATTTACCATCATGGAGGTTAGTCCTCATCCTCATCTCCTTTTTGCGCCTTGGCTGAGCCACTGACTTGTCAATTTTCCATCTCGTAGGGCCGCGATGTCGATCTCCTCCTGGGCCTCGACATGCTTAAAGCCCATCAAGCTTGCATAGACCTGGAGAGAAATGTCCTTCGAATTCAAGGACGTGAAGTACGCTTCCTCTCCGAGCATGAACTGCCGGATAAAGCGCGGATTATGGATGCTGGCGTCGATGACACTGCTTCACCTCGCTCTGCAGCTGCTACAGCATCATCATCATCTGTACCTGACCGGAATCCTCCTGCGCCGTCGTTTCCTGGGGGAGGGAACACACTTGGTTCAGCCCCAACTGGAGTTCAGAGAGGCGCTGCGAGGAGTGCGCCTCCAGCATCACGAACGCATCACCCAGAGTCTGCTATCGCCACTCTCATGGGCCTTGGAGCTACGCGCGAATTAGCCATCAGTTCGCTGGATGCGGCGGGTGGTAATCTGGACGTTGCAGCATCGCTATTGTTCTGAAAAATTATCATTGTCCCAGTTTCATGGTTTTTTGTTTCTTGATTGCTGACGACAAGTTGACGATGTACAATTGTATAAATAATGTGTAAAGTAGAAGTACAAATGCAAAATGTAAGCGATAAATAGCAAGTAACGGGCGGGAGAAGTGATACGAGCGAGGACCAGGTCAGATGAGATTGACTCTCGTCCGTACGAGACCTCCACGCCAATTTCTCATTCCAGCAGAACGGTGGTGCGACCAGTCACCTTGCATCCTCGAAAAAGCATCCTGAATATGTTCTGGGCGCAGCGCGGTGCGGGCTTCAGGAGGTGGTAGGAACAGCGAGCTAACAGGGAGTGGTGTATCATCCCTATCCGGGGAATCGTCGCGTCTGCGTTTGTTCGCCCCTGCATCGAGGGCGCTATTTACTTTCCGTTTCCCCAGAACAGGAGAGGTATAGTCTTCACGGAGGTACGACTCTTCAAGTGATTTCTTGACATCGAGGCCTGCCAATGTGAGCGAGCGCACCATTTCGAAAGCGAGAAAGCCGACAATATCGATGGTGTCGTCGTTCGCTCTTAGGTCTAACTGTACTGGAAGATTGAGAAAGTCGCGGAAGCGCTTGGCTAGGTGAATTGTTTCAGCGCGATTCTTAAAACTGCTCGTGGGGAGATTGCAACTGACCTTTCCTATACGTAAATGAGGCTTGACGACAATCTGAGTAGTGTTGATATTCCTCTCGCGTCATCTGACGTGTAGCATCGTCTGCTTCCTATTATCAAATTCAGCAACGACAAACGTCTTTGTATGTATGAACCATACCTTGAGTCGTTGGATGGAAGCTTCGTGAGCTTCGATGTCGTCTTCATCTTCTTCATCGTCCGACTGGTGTCCACTCTGTCTGAGTACCTCTGAATAAATGGTCGTTATCTCCCAGGGTAGCTTGATGGTGATTTTCTGGGCCTTGGTCGTTAGTTTATCTAATCCACGGAGTTAGAAACGAGTAGTGATGCATCATTTGAAAGACATACCGTCAGCACCGTCCTCTAGGGTCTCAACCTCCACACCTGCACCTCCCTCTCCACCAGAATCCTTAGCATGCTTCCGCACGTCTTTCCAAGATAGATATGTCCTCAGCCGGTTCACTTTTCCTCTGTCATGACGGATGAGGAAAATAAGGTCTTCGGCTGAAGTGTAGCGGGCCCCACGACGTGCTGCGAGAGCTCTAGCCTGCAAGATCTTTACGGCCAAAAGTAAGTGTGTGGCGGGATGCGTCTGGCGCGACATCAAGCGCTTACCAGCTCGATGAGTTGACTTCGAACGATGTCCTCGACGAGATTAACGGTTTCTGCGGCTGGATCTTGCACCTCTCCAAATACAAACATCTGCGAAAGCGTTGAGAATTAGCTGGATACTTGTGGACTTTATATGTGGGTGCTGCACACCATCTGAGATATTTCTTGGGAATATTTGTAGTCACGGCTACCACTGCCTTCCTGAGCGGCAGCTTTCTTTGTCGTTGTCGCCATGGATGGTATCCTCGAGTAGTGTGTTCAAGGATACCAGTGATACAGTATGGACCAGGATAGGTAGTGCGTAAAGTAAGTCCGGGTCTTTGTCGCGGTTCCATTGGGCACGCGTTTAGCGATTCCCGTGACTTTTGTCAGCTTTTGCTATCATGAGCAATCCAAACGCAATAACAAATCTGACCACAAGCTCACTATGGCTCGCCTCAGCTTGCTCAGTCATACAGCAGTTTATCTTATAACAACATTGCAGTATCTAAATCGTATCTAAATCTCTTGCTCTACTATCCATTCATGGCCACCACAAAACCTGAGCTAGACAAGCCTTTGCAGCTTCCTCTTTCCCCTGAAGACCTCCAGACCATCAATGAATATCTGTTCCCCCTCACACCACAAGAAATCTTGAAATGGGCTGTGGAATACCTTCCAGGGTTGTACCAAACCACTGCGTTTGGTCTTACAGGTCTTGTCGCCATCGACATGTTGTCGAAACTTACACCATCGCCCCCACCACTTATATTTCTCGACACCCTGTATCATTTCCAAGAGACATACGAGCTCGTGCAAGAAGTAGAGAAGCGGTACGGTCAGCATATACACGTCTATAAACCCGAGGGATGTCAGACTGTCCAGGATTTCGAAACCAAGTTCGGTGAGAAATTATGGGAGACCGATGAGGATACATATGATTTTGCCGTAAAAGTCAGTTATCGTCGCTCTTTATCTTTCTCCTTTCATTCGTAGCATGTGGACATAATGCTGATATACCGCCCCCAGGTTGAACCCGCTCAGCGCGCTTATCAAGAGCTGAATGTCAGATCTGTGATTACCGGTCGACGCGCATCCCAAGGCGGAGATCGCGCCAGTTTGCAGCCTCTCGAAGTAGATGCAACAGGTCTGTTGAAGTTGAACCCACTCTGCTCATGGACATTCCCCTTCGTCGAGTGGTATATCACGCAGAACAATGTTCCACGAAACAGGCTTCTCGATCAAGGCTATAAGAGTGTCGGTGACTGGCATAGTACGGTGAAAAGCGGTGATGGTGATGGAGGAGAACGTGCAGGGCGGTGGGCTGATAAACAAGAAAAGACTGAATGTGGGCTACACAAAGACTATTTTGCTATGAAGGCACGAGCAAAGGTGAATCCTATCGCTTGCTATTGTTTGTGTCATGACAACTAATGAAAACTGACAACGTTAGCTGGAGGCGCAGCAAGCTCAAGAACTAGGGAAAAACTAGAAGTAAAGACTGTGACGCTGTGCTAGTTGCAACCTAGAATATTCCATAGGGTCGGCATTCGCTACGCGTTTGACCACTTCGCGAGCTTTAAGCTTGACGTTTTTATGGTATGTCCTACACATGCTTTAGTACAGGGCGATAATCGAGATTTCTTCAATTATATGGATCTACGAATGGATCGTCTGTCGTGATGATTTCGCGTGGCCATGTGCTGTGGTATATCTGAAGCTGTGCAGATGCTATACCAGACCTCCTTTCGTCCCAAGATTGTTGTGATATTTTAGCTGATCCATTCCCATTTGTTATCGTTCTGCCGTTATGCTCGGCATGCTGTGTCAGAGCGGAAGTATGGCAGATGACAGCTGAGCTACAACCAGTTCAGCTACAGCACGCTTCTCCTTCCATATCATCAATACGATTGCCACGGCTTGCCAATAACAGAAACACCCAATCTGTCGGACTTGGTATCCTATTCATATACGCGCTGCATGGCTGACTAGCCTCACAAAAAGGACCAACACACGTCCACAACCACCTTCATCCCCCAGCTGTCAATACAGACACAATGGCCGTAAAGTACGTTCCTTCTCTGCTCGCTTCTCTCCACCACACATCGCTGAACTCCAATTTCTCGTCCGTCGCTCCTCAACACTCATCATCACCTCGCCATATCGTGATGCTCGCTGAAAGCTCACAGCTGCAGATCTTACGCTCTGCCCTCAAGCCAGAGATTAAACCGGAGGACATCCCGCCCCTTCCTGAGATACAAGCTGAGGCTATCAAGGTACAAGTGTTCACGCACCGCAGTTACTACGCTAGGCCGAACCACGTATTCGAGGATCACCCCAATGATCCCAGTCCTGACAACGAGAAGTACGTCTCCGCCACATCTTCTTCTTTGATCCACTGATCCTCTGTGCACTTGCCTGCCTGCTTGCATCACTTGCAGGTTCGAGCACCTCGGCGACACCGTCCTTGGTCTGGTGGTCACTACTCTGTTACTGGAACTATACCCCAACCTTCGCGTGGGCCCTTCGACTGTAAGCTTCCTCTTCGACTAAAAAATCTGCACGGGGTTCCGCATTGGGGCGTCCTCGTTCTCATTTCCATGTCTTCGATACAGAAAATCAGGGCCTTGATTGTTGGTAACGCCACATTGGCAGACGTGTGAGTCATTAAATGGCGTTAGATTAGGAGTGACTCACATGATGATTCGCCATGTAGTTCCCGCAGGTACAGGCTCCCAGAGCGTCTCCGTCTGCACCCGGCCCAAGCCATCACATTGCGAGCATCGACGAACGTCCAAGGTACTGTTTTCTCCATCGCTTTATCACGGAAAAACACTGACAATACATAACACACGTCAATTAGCCGACGTTTTCGAGGTAAGTTAGGAATGCAATGTAGCAGACGATTTTATTTCTTACCAGAACGGGTAGTCCTATGTAGGAGGGCTCTACTTGGATCAAGGGCTCGAAACTGTCAGGGGATGGCTCAGACGTCTTTTTGGACCATACACCACCGAAGCCTACCAAAGGATCCGAAAGCAGCACGGCTTACCACTGGCGCCTACTCCTCCTTTGACCCCTCCTATCCAGACCCCGCCGCCTTCATACTCTCCACAGCCACCCTGGTCCACTTCGCACATCTCGTCCACCCCGACGACCATTGGACATCTGGCGCTGTTCAACCAGCACCTGCAGAAAGAAAACAAAGGGGTCGAATGGGTGTACGGAATTGGAGAAGGCGAAGCAGCGAAGACGACGCCGATCTGGATGGTCCGTGTGTTGGTCGATGGCGAGCTATATGGCCGCGGACAGGGAAATACCAAGAAGGCCGCGCGCAATGAAGCCGCGAAGGAAGGTCTGGAGAAAATGGGTATTAATGTTTGGTAAGTACCGACGGTATTTGAGCGTTAATTTTGACATGGAAGTTGATGTCGGATTTGTGTTGGATGCGGGCAGAAGACCACGGATCACTCAGCAGGGTTTCTTCAGACTGCTGCTGGATGCGCGGACGTTCATCCTGCGTTAGTGTGCAGAGATTGTGCATGGGATGTGCCAGGCTGATGCACGGACTAAGAATACTGTGATCAAAGAATTATATGTGAAGTCTGTTCTTGAGATACATAGCAATGATGTGTACTACTTTTTGAAAAGTGTTTCTTGATAAATTGTTGTCAATGATGTATTTGATGCTATACGCAAAACCAGAACCACATACGTGAATATGATAGATTGAGAGGAGGTTAATGTCATGATTTATTTTAGACGCCCCATCTACTTTCCACTTCTTGAATCACCCAGTCTACCCATTTTATCGACTGGAGGAGCACCCCACACCAAAGTTTTGCGCGCTGGATCCAACAGCCTGGGGAAAGTCCTGTCTAATAGTGGTGCCAGCACACCTGAAGCCATCCGGATCTCTGGTAACTTTGCAGGTACAGGTTCGACAGGAAACGGCGTCAACTCAGTAGCGGTGGTGACATTCGCCACTGTTTTCCCATCTTGCTCCCCGCTTATCGTCGTCGTCGTCACCGTCGTCCCGACCCTCTGCAACGCGCGCGCCTCCTGATCTACATCGTCAAAGTCATCCTGCTTGACGGCGCTGATAGAATACGCCCATACGCCCACGCCAAATCCTGCAAGAACGAGTCCTGTGAGAGCGTTCCGGAGACGGAAGGGCTCGCGCGCTCGTTTGAGGCCCGGCGACATGACCTGGAAAGGCAGAGAGGGCGAATGATGATGATCATTTGGATTGTGGATGTGTGTGGAATGTGCTCACATAGCTCCTGGGCCGATACGAGGCATCGACAGCTTTTCTTGAAACGTATGGGTCTGACATGGTGCGGAGTTAGCCGTGTACTCTCTGGGCCGCAAGTGGTTGATGTCCAGCTCAGCAAAGTAAGGCTAACGAGCTCAAGGGATACGAAATTTCAAACGGACGAGATGTACTCAGATAAATAATGGCCTGGTGCTTTTACAAATTGACAAGACTCAAGAATCGTGGTGATAAGCGGATGAAATAGATATGCAGAGGACAAAGTGCTGTAGTAAAATGTATAACCTCAGAGACCAGCCTACACGAACATTCCTCGCTCTATCGAATGCATTGCAGCCCCAGGCAATCTCACAGAGTGAGCGTATTAGAAAAAAATCAACTTGTCATTGCAATCTCTAGGTTTACTCGTTAGCAGCGGGCTTGCCCTGTACAGAAGACGTCCAGTAATCAGCAAGGTAATCATCAGGAATTTTGGAATACAGCAATGAAACGCACAAATGCGAGAGAGTAGATGCCGTATGTCGTGCCAAACATGCCGAGGGTGAACAAGCTGTAGTAGGTGCCTAGGGATGTATGTCAGACAATCCACATAGCTCAGAGCCATATATGCTCACCAAGATACAGCCGCGAACGTGGCAGGCGGTAGTAAACAGGCTTGTGGGAGTGCTATGCGATACATGTCAGCAATGCCTTAACTTTCTGCACTCGAAACGAAGCATACCTGGATCACCTGCTGCCTCTCTAGGATTCGGTTTGGCTCTGCACATAAGTTTTCTAGTCAACAAAACAGTAGTGAATGAGGTTTATGGCATAACTTACTGTTCACGACTGCGTCAATCATCCTGATTTTAAGAGTATGCAAGGAATAACACGCTGCTGGTTTTGCTGAATGGAATGAACGGACCAGCCACGAACGAAATATGGTCGTGAGCGGAGTCTGAATCGCGTCTGGCCGAGGTTTCCCGAACGTCGACGATGGCAGAACGCGTCCGAGTCAGAGTGCGTTTGTGTGATAACTTATGATAATCCGCGATGCTCACAGACATTGTAGGGACTCACAATACACAGGCCCATCATCTATGGAAACACTGCAACTGTCTTGACTCCAGATGAGAAAAAGCTCATCAACTTTCCTGATCATACCCATCGCTGGACCGTCGCCTTGCGCAGTGCAGCGTCCACTGCCGATTCAGATATCGTAGGCGGTGCAGACGACCTTAGTTATTTCATAAAACGGGTTACGTTCAAGCTCCACGACACATATGCCAATCCTACACGAAGTGAGTCGTCGCGTCACTTGCATTCTATCTATCTATCGTTTCTGACAACAATGGTCACTGTCCTCAGATATCGACAAGCCCCCATTTGAGGTTACAGAGACGGGGTACGTCGATAAAGGACCAGCTGAACGACACTGACATTGACAGTCTCCAAGGTGGGGAGAGTTTGAGGTCCATATCAGGATCACTTTCATAGCTGAATCGGGAGAAAAGGCCATCAGTTTTTACCACCACCTCAAACTACATCCCTGGACAGTCACTGGCGATCCAGAAATCCCAAGTCTCGAAACCGCCGTCAAACTAGGTCCCGTTCACTCTTGGCAATACGACGAGATTGTTTTCAGCGACCCTTTTCAGTCGTTCCTCAACATTCTCACTACCCACCCACCCACACCTCTCCCTAAAACAAAGCGGAAGCCAGTTCCCTTTCATACTTCTAATATGGCCTCCCTCGAGGCAAGTAGAGGTGGCGTCCCAGAGTTTAATGCTCTCATGGAGAAAGAGGAAGCGGAGAGACTCGAAACTGCGAGAAAGACCATTGTGGCGGAACAGGAGCGCTGGAGAGGCATCCTCATCGGACGAGAAAAAGAGCTAGAACGGCTACATAAACAGTTGCAAGCTTCTTGATCATACAGTATAAGGGAGATGTACAGATTTACAGCTTTTTCAGGATATGTATACAACCTCATTGATCAGTGCCATGCAGCCCACCCTGGATACATTTTGGCCTATGAAGGACTTATTAGTCGCATTTTTCACTAAATGATATGGAGATGGCCGTACCAAGTTCGCACTGTCGGTTGCTTCTTGGATGAGCATTTGAACAAGGTTACTTGTGGAGATTTCTTTTTCGTGTCTTTCCTTGCTGGTAGAATAAATGCCCTTTAGCTTTTTCTCGATGGGATTCAGCGCATTTTTGGCCAAATGACGCAAATCAGTGGTTGATTTTACAGCGTTTCGCCTATCTCGTTCCTGTACACGTACAATCATAATCTCGTCAAAAATCAAAAGAATTGAAAGCTATGAAACACGTACCATCTTACGTTTTTCATCCTCCCATTCTACCAAAGGATCGTGGATGAAAGCATCTAAAACGCTCATCAAAGAATCCTTGTTGTCTCGTAAAAGCTGCAAAGTGACTTCGCATGCTTTACGGAAAACACCTGAGCATCCACAGCGTCAGATAGCACGTTCAGAATAAAATCGAAATATAGCACCTTCCACCCCTGTAACGCCTAGCCCATCGATCATGTTCTGTGTGAGGCGGAAAGGAACGCGTTCTGGAGTTTCCAACGTTTTTCCCTGGCAAAACGTTGAATTGAGGATAAACCAGAACTTCATCTCGTTGCCTACCTTTTCAAAAAGACAATTGAAGTCGACATGAACAGCATCTCCTGTGTTCGTATCCAAGAGTATGTTTTCGCAATGCCTATCCCCAAGGCTAAATCGAATGATCAGGAGAAATCGATGTACCGTTTCAAAGGCGCGAACGTACCCTAAAATAAAACCGACCATAGACATCACGGCTGCCGTCCTTCCGTAAGATAGACGGCTTGCTAGCCAAGCCGTTGGTTCTGGGAACGTCTCGATGAACCACTCGTGGAACACAGGGGGAAACCTAATATCCCCGTATCAACACAGCCGTAAATGTATAAGTGAGACGTCTTCTTACTCTGGCAGGACCTTGGTGATGAACAGATTTGCAGCATCCTTTTCAGGCGCTTCCTTGATCTTCTTGAACGTATCGCTTAGCTCCCCATTCTGTCCCAGGATGTCAGTAGATCTATAGATCATAGGCTCTTCTGGGCTCACCCAGCTTTTGATGCGTTTTGCGTCGTAAAACTTGACCAGTACGGGCCGAACAGGGATCGTATTTGGCACCCATTGAATGAATCCACATTCCTCGTTTAGCGTGACCACACCATAAGTGCGAATATCTATTAACAAAACAGTCAACATAGTGAACTATTATCAGCGTTGAGAACATACGAAGTTGTCGCCTACGCGATTCCGAATTTGCCTTTAGTAGTTTGTTGAGGATAGCATTAAAGTCCATCAGTCGAGCATCTTTACGGAGATCATCTTTCGGTTTTCCGAGGAACATGTATATTTGTCCGTTGCTTCCTCGGATCGTGATCTTCCTCGGTTTGGCTAACGAACGCATGATTTCGATCTCGTCGAAGAATTCTACAAAAAAAGCCGATGTGAAAGGAATACCATATATCATAGTGGAGTTAGCACCTACCGTCGAACGTTGGTGCAGCAGGAGGGAAAGGGTTATGGGTAGAGTGACTAGTCGAGGAGGTTGGAGGAAGATTTGCTGTAAGAGATTCTTGCAAAGGAATGAGTAGAGGGGAACGACCGAGAGCAGCCAATCGAGGAAACTCTTTCTTCATGCTAACAGTTTTTCTATCGTCATCAATATGGTGATTACACAGGCGGAGAAGCTCGTCCGTCATGGTGACGCATTGAGTTATTAGTACGGGCACCTGGTTTTTAGTATTGGCGGGATTACTCTGAATGGGAATCCTTTAGCAACCTAATAACAAATTCTAAAGGTTTACAGACCTTCAACTGGTCAAGTATGGCCTTGCCCCGCTGTTCACGGTTGGGCTTGGTTGATTTCACAACAGAAGTGAACAACCACAATGCTTGGTTTGGATACTCTTGTATCACGAGAGCAATCAGCTTTGAAAGTACCGCGTAGACATCTGTGTTAGTATGGCCGACTCGTGAAACAATTTGTGGAAACGCAGTGAACCACTTGAAAAAGAGTTAGAGTAAGAACGACAGAAGTTATATTCCATTGTTTACCTTATAAACTGGTATGGTTTTGATGGCGCTTGAGACGGTCGCATTTACTTTCCCAAAGACATCTGTTTTCAGAATCTTTGGATGTTCACCCATGTCCAGCCAAAGGGTGAGTAATCTAGGCACTGTCTGGTACACATATTTCGACCCGTATACAACTGCTTTTGCAAAGTTTCGGACTGTGTGTAAGTTCATCTTGATACCTCTGTAACCCAACAGAATTGAGTCATGTAAAGTTCTATGCTGCGGGAACGAAACATACCGCTTCTCTTGGTCTTGCGTAGACAAATTTCTGTAACATTGATCATGAAACTGGCCCAGATGATAGAATCCGCTCTCCCACCTGTTCAGGTGTCAGCGCAGGTGATCTAAGATGTAGACAGAAGACAAACTTGGGCCATAAGTCAGCTGCATTCTGGAATGCTTTCCAAACGTGAGCGATTTCAAAACGATCAGATTCATTCATCCAACGAGCAAGGAGAATATGAGACTAAAATTTTATTCAGCGACTAAGCAAGACTTCCGACTTTGCAGTGCCACTAACCTTGGCTTTCATCCTTTTTGTATCATCATCGTCTTCAGTTAGATCAATTGTGTCACTCTTATCTTCGATGATGCCAACCAAACGCATCGAGTTTTCCAGCTCTTGCAATGCTCGCAAGGGCTCTCCAGTCGCTTTCACGAGCTTCGCACTCTCCATAAACGAAAAATCTACTTTGCTCTGCTGAGCTTGTAGCATAGCGCTATAAGCTGTATGCCATTGACCTGCTTTACGAGCAATTTTGGCACTAGCAAGCCAAGAACGCCCAATTTCTGGCGTGAAGGCATTTCGGGGTGATGTACTAAGGCACCACGTTTATTGCATATTACACAGAAGAGAACATGTAGCTCACCTGAGCGAGAAAGCAGTCCGTCGCATGCTTAACACGGATTCACGAATGCGAAAATTAGGAAGTGTGAAGTTAAATCGAGTAGCCAATGATTGACCAAGAGACTGTACTACTGATCGACGCTCCTGGGAATTAGCTGGGAGCTTTTCCATGGCTGCATGGATCATTTCAAGCTCATGTATGAGGTGAAGATCAAGCACAGCATCATAAGACCGCCTGTAGCCCTGTTCTCCAGAGGCAGTGATGGGAGTACCAAGAACAACACGAGCCTGTGATAAAGAATTGCTGATAGCAATAGTGTCTCCTGTGCGCATTGATAGCAGCACACGAGCTTTAACAATAGAAGGTGTTTGATTTCCAGTATTCTCGACCATTTTTTCAACGTCATCCCAAGCTCCAATCATCCAAGCGCTTTCTGCTTGAAATCCTGCCAAATCTGACTCCCATGCCGGATTGCGGGTTAGAACACCCTGTACATGAGTACGAAGCGAATCTAACGATAAAACAGTCAAAATAAAGAGAAGAAAAATTGGATCGACGCTTACCATAATGTCCCAGATTTCTCAGGCATCGAAGAAGTCCTAGGTGGAAATCAAGATTATCTGGAGATTGCTGAAGTCGTACTTCCCAACAACTCTGTGCTGATGTCCAACGTCCTGTACTCTCGTGTTGACGAATCTGATGCTCCAAAGAAGGCGACAGGATAAGAGTGGAAACACCTTCCATGCCATCTGGCTCGTTGAGATTGGCGTAGATCTCATGCAGCCGCTCATAATACGGAGTAATCTGGTTCTTACGACTGGGCGTTTGACGTTCTCGCATTGCAATGATCTGGCGCTCGAAGTTCATCAGGGAACGAGCATAAGCTTTACATTGTAAGGCAGCCTTCGCCATTAGGTCATGATTGATGCTGGACAACATTGAGTCCACTTGAACCAGTTGCTCTTCACCTTCAACCATTACGTGCTGAGTGCGAACTCGTTTGCTGTCTACCTTTTTGGAGCTAATATCTTGACGAAGAATCCGCACATATTTACTGAGATGATCCAGCAGCATGAAGACGGCCTGAAACGTATTAGTAACCCTTGCGATCATTGCGAAAAATATGTCAGTGAATCACCTGGGCGCTGAGTAGCTTTTTGTCTGGACTTGAACAACTATCAGATGCAACTTGATCTTCCAGCACAGCTAACAACTCTGAAAGGATATCTTGCTTATCCTCCTCGCTTCCAGAGAGAAGAATATTCAACACCAAATGAGGGAGGAGATGATGGGCCACCCCCACATCTTTGTTACGAACTGCTGAGCGTAAAACGCTGAAAATCTTCTGAGCAGTATTCCCCGAAGCTCTTGTTAGAAGGTGTTCTGTCCATTTTTGGATCCATTCTCGGTATGTTGGAAGTCGCGGGCTCGGATAGATGGGTCGTTTTGGCTCTTCCGAATCCTTCAAGCGAACTGAATAACGACTTTCAAGTAATGGCGTGACGGTTTCCAGGACATGTTTGGGCAAACTGTTCCATCGGTTTCGAACTTTCATAGGGACAGATGTCGTAGTGCCTGAGGTTACCAGGGCGGGCGTAAACTTGCAGAATCGGAGCAACTCTTGTATAGCGTACGCCAGGTGATTCTGGTATTGGATGTCGCTAGTTGACCGAAATGCGCCCACCAAGACGTCTTTGATGATGTGCAATGCAAAAAGGACAGCTTCTCCTTCGTCTGTAAAATTGCTGCGCACGACCATCCTGGTATCACTGAGACCGATTTCGCATCTGTCGGGGTCAACAGCTCCAAGAATCCCTATACATTCGAACGCCAGCAATTGCGAGTTCTCCGTCCCGTCTCCATCGTGACAGGCTGTGGCAAGTAAAGCAGACAGAGTATGTCCAATTAACGGATCAAAAATGTCACCTGAAGCAAGACTCTGAACGAAGGGCCTTTCGTTTAGCATGAAGGACTTGAGTTCGCCAAGTGATTGTAATGCGACCGTCAGATTGTCACTGCCTGAACGATCCAAAATCTTCTGTAATCTATACTTCGGTTGCCACGATTTACGGGAGTCTTGGAGCTTCTCATGAAGCTCGTACAACTCTGGAATCGCGCGTAAGTCAACAATGTCGTCTAAATGTTTCCCCGAGCGTTCCCCTACGTCGAATATAATGTAATGCAACGACTTCCTGGCTAGGTCACGGCCAGAAGGAGACAAAGTTGACCATGAGGAAATGAACGATGCACTAGTAGGTCCGACATGAGGGCCGACTTCGTTGGGCTCCAAGGTGGATAAGAACGTAAACCAAGTTGCTAGTGTAACTTCAGACAGTTCAGGTATGAGAAACATAGTTTGTAACATTGCCATGATCTGCGAATCACAATATGAATATCGTCATGGTGAAGTATGCAGGACTATAATACCTGTGGGGAGACGCTGTTGATTGCTGGCCCTATGTGACCAATTAAGGCACCTATACTTCGCAAAATCTGCCGCTTTTCGGAAATGCTTTTCTTTCCAAGTACGTCCTGGAGTGTGTCATTCATGTCCGATATTATTCCCAGCATGTGGTCCTTCAAAAAAGGAGCTAGAGTGGATACTGCGGAGGCGCGTTCTGGCCTCGAAGATTTAGATAACGATCGCTCCACTCTCTTGAGAGCTTGGACTGCCTACTCAGTCACATCAAAATCAGGGTTTCGTGTAGGCCTGAAGAAGGATTGACTGACCGCTGCTGAATTCTCCTCGTTCTCGTCTCCTAGGACGATTACTAGCTCTGTCAGCAAGGGAAGTCTACAGCTTCCGACTAAACTTTGAACATCTATGCTAGAAGAGTCGATGTTCAAATTCACAACCGCGTCGGACAGAATTTTCAGGATAAAATTCAGTGCCTTGCTTGGTTGTCCTGGTCCCTGTAAAAGAAAAACGTGTGCAAGTACTTCCCGCGAGTTCCTGAGGAATAAGTTGGAGTTAGAAGTTCCAAGTTGCGACGACATCTCTTCGAGTACTCTGGAGTCACAGCTGGCAAAAATCTGGGGCAGCGTTTTGGAGAGCGTAACAGAAATAAAGTCGCCTGGGGACACTGAAATAAATCGGCACGTCTCCGCCAGCAGGCTAGGTTGTGTACACATCCGAGACACCAGGAACGGAGCGATACGAGGCATATAGGGAGACACCAAACTGTAGGGCGACTTCTTATGGTACTTTGACAATTCCAACAGCTAGACAAGAAAGGTCAATCTGAGAGGTAAAGCCTTGGTTTGATGGGTTACCTGTAAGTAAGCAACGCCTCTAAGCAGTGGGTTTTGTTTAGCTAACTGAGAGATCAAGCAGCAGACCGCTTGTTCTAAACCTTCTGCCTTGGTGGATCTAAGCAGATACATGCTCAATGGAACCTGAGAGATGAAATAACTGAAAACCTACCGCCCAATAAACCCAACAGATATTAGCATTGTTTCCTTGACAGAATCCTTAGGTGCATCGAGTAATCTATAAACATTGTTAAACATAAGCTCGGTGCGCCTCCACACGCCATCAGTGGTAGCTTCGTATAATTTGGCCACTTCTGCTATCGCACGGCTTCTCACAACTGTCAGCGACATGGTATATGAGTTGTATGCTTGACTTACCCAGCACTGAGCCTTACATATCTGTCTTTCTCCGCAAGACCATGGTATATCATTTCTAAAGCACTCGTCATACTAACCATCTCTGATTTGGGGGAGTGGTATTTGATAACTTGGGCTAACGCCAGGAATACTCTTCGACGAACAAGACCTGTAATTTCCTCTTCTAATCCATCGAGCAGTCGCGTGAGGATAGGCATAAAACATGGTAGTGTGGAAAGTGGTGGACCGTATGTCCCTTCGTTTTGAGAGAGAAGAGCAGGGAAATCACAAATTTTCTCTGCTAACGATAACCGAGCTGGGCCCGCCGTCATATGAAGTGGCCTGTTGTAAAGAGAGTTGATCAAAAGCACAAAACACATAGCTCGCATTCTTTACCCATCAAATCTTTTTTGGATTTCATCAGCTGCACGTTGGGCATATAATACCGCAGGGGAGTCTTCATCTACATCCATCCAATGTAAATCGTCTGGGACGATCAATTCTTCTACAGTCTCCCTCACATTCCTGCGCCAGAGTGATATTGCATTCTGATCAGCTATGTCCGGTTTTGCACTTAGATTGGAGGGTGCCTGCAGTGCTTTATCGATTTCCCTGATTAAGGCGCTCTTGTTATCATAATCATTGTTCCCTTCGAAAAAGTCCCTCGCCATGGACAGCGTGGCTGGATCGAACGAGGGTAAACGAATTCGTATATATTCGGATCCTAAAAACTTTTTTAAAAAAAGAATAAGTAATCACTTAAGTCTAGTTGATATACATACACGTAGCTCAAAGCCTGGATCTCCCCAATGTTCGCTGCGCAAAATGCTCAATACAGCAGAAGCGTTGTGAGAAGTCTTGAGACCTTTGCATGCCGCGAAAGTACTGCGAAGAGCAGCATAGGAAGATTCCCAAGCACTATTTGGCCCCTCTTCAAGAACGCATAGCAATAAACGACATGGTAAACCATCAAGAGAAACCTCAAAGCTAGGTGATTGCGCTAGAAGCACATGAGATGACTCAATTATCCGTGCCAAGCTCCGAGATCGCCTATGTGGGGTAGTGGGACAACACAAGCAGTAGTTGAAAGCCGATTGCGCAAGCACTACAGTTCTCCGCAGCAGATCCATCATGAACCATTGTGAAAGTAATGGAGGGCTTAGAACCCTGCTCAAGATTTCAACGATAACACTGAGAAAGACTGGAATATATGATGCAGACGGCAATGTTAACGTATGAGAAGTGCCTGGTGGGTTCTGATTATTTCGTCAGGTAAATAGCAAGCCTCGACTCTGTTAGACCATACCGGTATCCTCGCATCTGAAGAAGTTGTTTCCTTGAGATGGGGTTTAGTGAACCATGTAATGTCCAAGGGAGACTTTGAAGCAGGCAGGGTTACAATTTCTGGCGCTCTTTAAGAGAATATTTACTACAAAGAAGGATAGTTTACGCACCATCACATATGTCGAGACTTTCAGATATGACATCTCGCAGAACTTTCCATGGTGGTTTTCCAGAGCCCTCCGTAGTCTTCACAGATCCACCTAGGGACCGCAAGAAGACGATCATCCCTTGAATAGCTTTTGAATGTAATGTAGAAGGTATTGGTATCCCTTCTTTCTCGGGAACTTGAACATCCAACCAAGATTCGGATGAGTGGCAGAGACCAAGAAGCTGCACGAAAAACTTCTTTGTGATATCCTCCAGACCTACATACAATGAATCGATCCGGTCCGTTGCACGTTGAATTACGTCCAAGGAGATGTCAGTCAAAACCAGTCTTTCGTGAATGCTTTCCCAGAGCGCAGGTCTAGCATACGGGAATAGGCCCAAAATGACATCCGATAAGCCAGAGAGGACAGCGGTCCATGTTTCCTTGTGGGAAGAGGGAACAACGCTAATGAAATCTTCACTCAACTCTCCTGCTATGAGGGAATTGAGGAATTCTAAGAAATGTTTGGGAGCTACCTCTCCCTCTGTCGTACTCTGGAATGTTGCCGGAACTATGAACTGCGTTGATACCGGCAAACTCATTGTGGAGCTAAATCAAAAGACTGGATGGATTAAGCTGGATCAAAGCATTCAAAGATCATTGAGGCGCGTCGTTACCGTGACCGACCGTAAGTTAAGACGCGTTCACGGGCAAACGCGTAGAGCAAATTTGTGCGTGTTAGATTTCAAAGCTCTTGTACAATAAGGTCAAATAAAACCCAGCCACATTATAGATATCCAACGGCGCTGACAGCCAATTCAAAACCTGACATGAGCGGACTGTATTCAGAATGTGGACCGAGATACCGTATACAAGGCCGATAACAGTCATTTGATGCACATGCGCATAACAATGGATAGGGGGGAACAGCTCATTTCCGCCCTGAACGCTTCTTTTCTTTTGCCTTCTCCCTTTCCATTGCCTTCTGTTCCGCTCTCTCGCCCTCGAGCGAGTTGAAGACCTTATTCATGCTCTGTTTATAAGCACGGTCCTTCTCTCTTGTTTTTTCTTGCTCAACAGAAGCAAGGAATTTGGCATCTTTCCGCAGTTCACGGATAGCACCCTTCTTTTCTTGCTTATGCTGGTAACGAAGCTTGGCCATTTCATTGCGTTCATGGTCCGGATCGCGATGGCGCATATAGGAGGAGGAAGATGTCTCGAACTTTGGAATGTATGTCGGGATAGGAATCGGTTTGTGTGCCTGCAGCTTTAGAGGGCTTCGTCCTCGTCTCGCGAATTTTAGTAGACTTGATAGCTTTTCTTGAACACCATTTCTCTTCGTCTGTGAAACAATTATGAGTCAACCCTCTTATGGCAGTGATAGGGGTATGGTTTACCTCTAAGTCAGGACTTGCTGATTTGAAGTCAAGCTTCGAGAAAATTGTTTGAATAGGCTCAAAAAGCTCGATAAACCCTTCTAAACCCTTGTACATATTCGCGAACCGATCGAGGGCATCGAATGATAAACCTAAGAGATCTATTTTGGTTTGTTCGTCCGTTGCAGCAGCAGTCAACAGCTGGGCCAAATTAGGTTTCTGGATAGCCAACTTTCTGGTCTTCTTAGCGACAATTGAAAGTGGTAGGCATAGTTCCGACCGTAAGTCAGGGGAAGGAAAAGAACCTGGTAACGAGGCCGCATCCTTGTAGGAATGAGGAGCTAGATGTAACACGGCGTTCATTGCAAAGTTTACTGCCTCTGGCACTAGCCGTTGAGATAACTCTTCGTACTGAAGGAATAATGTGCAGAGGAACAGGCCACTAGCAATATCTGCTAATGACCGAACACGGCACAAACCAAGGTAAGCACCCATGAGGAGACGTGCTGGCGAGATGACTGGATGCTTCAAGTCACTAACTGGCCACGTAGCGCCGATGACTCGAAAGAGCGACAGCTCTGCAACACCAGGCCATGTTCTCGCCTCGGGATCCAAGGCACCTTGAGATAAGCCTCGCTTGAGATTTTTGTGCATCAAGGAAAGTTTCCCTACAAAGTACTCTGCGGACTCGATGGGATAAGATTTACATAGGGCGAATAGGTGTGGAAGTAGGGACGATAGTAGGGTAAAGCGGGGCGTCGGAGGTGATGCGATATAGAGGACATGGTCAACAAGAACAGTTGCTAGAGTCTATTAAACCTAGGATAAGCGAAATGTTTTCCGCTATTACAAGGGAGAAACTGACCTGTAACTTAAACTTGTTATCTGCTGCTAAACTAGTGTGGTACAGGGTTCGGATACGTTGAATAACAGTAGGCACATCTTCATCTTCCACGTCTTCCACTATCTCTAAGAATTCCTCGTGGGTTCCTGGACAAGCAAAAGTGTAAGGCAGTTCCTTGGAAAATGTTGAAGGTTCGGATGTCCTGGATTTTCGTCTTGTCGTGAGCTCCGTCAGTTCGCCTTCCTCGCCTTCAGACATTTCATCATCGTCTACTTCCTCATTGTCAGACTCCTCTGCCTCTTCCTCCCCCTCCCCCTCCTTCCCTTCGCCATTGTCTTCACTATCATCCTCACTATCACTATGGACTGAAACCTCGTCATTACCAATCCGTGTACCCCCTTCACCTAGTCCAGAGCCAAGTCCAGCCCAATCTTCCTCCGCCTCATGGAAATCATCATCCAGGTCATCTCCTCCTCTGTCTCTCTTTCGTTTCTTTCGACCTTGTGCTTCGTCCTCGTCGCTGCCATCTTCCTCTTCTCCCAACATTCGTCTCTTTCTCTGACGCTCAGCTTTTTCCAACGCCTCCTTCTCCTCCAGAGCAATTTCTTCTTCCGTTTTCGTTCTATCTTTTGCTTTCGCGCGTTTTTCGAAAGCAAGCTCGCGAACTTGCTGGTCATAATCAACCTCGATCGGCCGTTCCTCAGTTGTCGCGTTATCCTGCGGAAGAGGTTTTCGGCTCACTCCCAAAGGAATTGAGTTGCTACCAGTTGATGAGGGATCTGGTGCATACAGCAATGATTTAAGGGTGTCGAAGTCTTGGTCGAGCTGGTGTCGAATGTTTTCTCCTTGTTCTTTTTCCATTTGGCGGCGTAACTGGAGGTTGAAACAATACACTATGAGTGAATATTGCGTACTTTTAGAGTATCGAAGCAAACCTTGTGCTCTTTACTCTTGGCCATCACTTCTGCCATGACCTCCGCTTTGGATTTTTTTCGTTCGGACTAAATACATTTCAGTCAGGAAGATGATATCCAGGTCGGAAGACAGACCTCATCACCCTCTTTTTCGTCATCTTCGTCTTCATCATCGAAACCGCCAAAATGTGTGTGCTTGACTACTTCTCCACCAATCTGACCTGCAAAGGAATCAGCAACAGGCCCAAATGTCATATAAGGGTAGACGGACGTTCATCATCCTCATCTTCATCATCCACATGTAGACCAACGTTATCAAAGTCGTCGAGCATAGACAAACTCCGCCCATAGTGTGTGAGTTCTTCCTCGTCCTGAAGGTTAAATGCAGAAGCTTTAGACGAGCGCTGCCGTTCTCTTGTGAACCGCTCAAGCATACGGTCCTCCACCGACATCGTTGGATCATTTTCACCAAATCGTCTATCTATCATCCCTCCAGCATGACCTTTCTCCTGATACTCTTTAAGCAGTGTCCTTTTGCGCTTTCCAAAGGAGTTAGTGAAGCACAGTTTAATTAAAGATCGTCAGTGACTCACCTGCTCGATACCAGCCTGCTTACTCTGAGCGGGGTGCCCAATCGCCCCTTTTATCTTTCGCCCACCAACATCATGCTTGAGTTTCGTAACTTTGGTGTCGAACTGGTTTAGCCTTTGATGTATGGCTTGAAGCCTAGCGGCTTTCTTCACTTTTTCCGTGTCTTCTGATCCGGATTTCTTACGCTTTTTGCCATTTTGTGAGGTCTGAGATAGTCCTGCCTGCGATAACGCCGACTTCAGCTGGTTCAATTGAGATTTGGCCATCCTAGGAGTGGATACCTAGAAAGTTCAAAAAACACTCTATTCTCATATTTTTGTGACGGTCACACCGTGACCTCAGATCATCGACTTGAACTTTGCTCTCCCCGATGAAAGCACCAATATCACTGGGCGACAGCAACTTTACAAACATTCAAGCTCTACCCATAGACCTTCAATTTATAACCGCTGCGTCACTACGACCTCACTAATGATATTATACTACTCCCTAAGGTTGAAGACAGCCTCTTATGCCCTTCGGTTTGGATTCAATGTTCTCGTGTGCTCCTCTCTTTAACGTTCCTGCACTTACAATGAAACGCGAACGTATAACATTCCGATTACCTCGCAGCGTCCACATAACATCAGAGTAGACGGGCTAACATTGGCTAGCACAGGTAAGTACAACTGTTGACATTGTCAATTCTTTCTATTTCCTTACTTTGCTCTTTCCCGATCTTTCTGAAACACAGCACTCTTGCAACATTCTTATCTCTAATACACATCAAAAGTTACTATGACTTTATCGTTACTGATAAATAGCGTCGTTCATGTGAACGGCTCAAACTTGAATCTCACACAGTGTTGGAGCAATGGACTTTAGCAGTCTTGTTTGCGTATCTTCGCATTTGAACAACAATAGTTCACTGGAGAACTCGAATAATTAAGTAAGTTTCATTTCCGTCACACGACAAGAGTATGTGTGCCAATGTAGACACCAACACTACCGCAATACCGCCTCACCGAAACGCTATGCTAGTCGTCTTTGATCAGCCAATCAATCATGGGACTTGTATCTAGCTCTTTTTATGGCTCACGGTCATCGGTCTCCTGAAACAGACTCACCCACACGACCCGTATCATATCTGCGCATCCATACCCTTGGTAAACTATTTGGTGCGGGGGTGGTGCGGATTGTGTCACACACACAATACCATTACATTGGCTTTTCCAGAGTGTCGTGACAAGTTAACCCAGCGTGAAACTCAATAACACTGACCTGGATGCTTACACGGTTTCGGCGGCATAATCTCTGTCTATATAATAAGCTATGCACCGGTACCGGTATCGCAATGATATTCTTTCCGGTTTCGACTTCTACATTCATCGTTACTCGCACGAACCTACGACTCGTACAAAATCCCTGGTGCCACGAAATTGGACCCAGAAGCGCCACTCATATAAATCCCACTCGTCTATAGCACCACTATGCAATATACCCATTCTGATATCGTTCTCAGTCACGTTGGGTGCAATTTAATGGTGCATTATTCTCAGCCAACGCTCTCACGCTCTACAGCTGTACGAAGCGGAACATCTCACTCTCACTGTCACGCTACATTGTAAGTTCAATCGGTCGATGGACCGCTTTTTGAGCTTTTGATAACTCTGACTGCAAGTAGCTTCTCTATCAAGCTCTTATCTGAGTTTTCGCTCACATGCCTCTCTCCCCCTTCTGTTTTGACAGCCATGACGGTTGCGTACGTACGCCTTTCCTGATTCCACTGCATTTTCCCGTCGCCTGATGATAGATCAGACAACCGACTCAAAAATAACCAGTATCATTGTACGTCCATGGCACCATCTTCAATGGGAGTCTGACATCAGCACCAAGACCAAGGCGCTGATTAACTATCATTATCTCTCAAACGTCCTCTGCTGTGAGTCGTGGGGGTGTTCGACGGTCTAACCCATCAAGCTGTGGAGAGGATGGTGCTTCTGTGCCTGGCCCCTCAACCAGCAACTCCTTATCCACCCAACATATCGAGGCTGGCTTCTCGCTTCTTTTAATAACGCTTGTCTTTTATGCGGAGGTGTTCTCAGCCCTCGACACTTGTGTTATCTTTGTCGATCGGCATACCAATGGAGATGGGCCCGTGTCTGCTTAGCGCCACAAAGCTTCCTTCACAAGCCTCATGGTCAAGCAATTATGACCATCTCAACATTAGACTCTTCGACGTGCTTCTTCTGGCTGACTTACATACTCTCTGCGTCAAATGATAAGCCTCATGGTACACGATGTCCAAGGCGAAGGCAATCGTGTGAATCGAGCTTGTCGGGAGCGAGAGGAACAGTAATCTAGCAGCTGATCGAAGGATCCGTCAGGTATAATATAGTTTAGGATCATATCACCTGAGTATCCATTTACCCCCAGGCTAGTTGTTCATGAATAATTATTCGCTTCAATCTCTGTTTTGACGCACGAAGGGTATCATAGTCGGGTGCAAAGTCCAAGACTGGAGTTCCTCCGATGTACCGGCAATAAATAATCCGCCGCTATCAGTTGACAGGTCCAGGGTTAGTAGCAATTATATCGCGACACGTAGCTGACATAGTATATCCGTACATGTATGGAGAGGCGTGACACCGTGTTCAGCAATAACTCAACCAGCGCGGGGGGCCAGGTACGCCATTGGGTATGTCTTCAGGGACGCAATGCTGCAGCGAGCACCACAGCAGGGTCATGAAACTGCGCGAAAACCCGCGGAGCTTCGTCACAAGTTGTCCCCCCTCTCGAGCACAGAAGGAATTCGCAGAAATAACCTGAACTGACGATAGCTTCATGATTAACGCGCCTTTTTCGACGAGATACTTAGTAGATCCAGCCGCAGTACACATCGGGAAAGTGCATCAATGACACCCACTTCTAGAACTCGAAGTTTGTAGTGTGGCCAAGGTCATAATAGAAGGGATCCAGGGACGAGCAATATTTCCTAAATATGTATGATTTCAATTTTGCAAACGGTATCGTTAGATGAAATATTACATCATTGAGCGCGATAAATTGGCCTTGGAAGACGAGCACGCGATGATTTCTTTGGAGATATAGCGTGTTTAACACAGAAGACTTCAAGTTGTTGTTAAGGTAGTCACAAACGCCATTGGGCCGTAGCGCTGTCCGAATCTGTCTTTCCTTCTCGGATACGAAGAAGGCGGAGTGAAATCAGACATCATGTTGTGGTTAGCGTTCCTATTCGACAAGAGGCTGAGTAATAATCCAGCCGTGTGTACCACGGCTGGAATGTAAACCGATGGTACGTACGCTAAAATCCAAGATTCGCATGAGGACACGTCACATTATACCCTTAACGCATGAGGGGCAACACCTAAAAATGCATCATGTTAATTTTGAAATTCGTGACGTTAATACAAGGAAGTACTTTCATAACAGGGGGGAGGGACAGCTCGTTGACAGTAGAAGACCTCGGGAATGAAAATGACGCTCTTGAACACGATACAACGTGTCCAATGCCATGAAACTTATTACTAGCGAAGTCACAAGTGTCCCTGCTTTGCAATACTTTCCAAACTGCCGCGGTAAACACGGTGAAAATGCGAATTAGTACGTACTAGTGTACGATATCATGCATTCTTAGCAAGGACAGAAACACAAAGAAGTCTATTAATTCATTAAACCGCATTGTCAGCTCAAGGATGACTTCAAAAGAGGGGAGCGATATTAACCGTAGAATAAATCCTCAATGAGAAGCTACAGGTAGACGTAAGGATGAGAATCACCTCAGATAAAAAAAACAAGCAATACAATCGTGTCTAGAACGCACCGAATAGCCTGGATAAAGACACATTATGAAACAAATGCTTTCCAGTAAACCCTCAATCCGATAGTTGCCAGTCGGATCAGACACTGTACTCGAATACAGACTCAACCAAACCCCCTTCCCTCCCCCACTGCAAGTCTGAATAACCACACACAAAAAAAAAGAAGACAGCTGTACGCGCACAAACGTCTCTCCGAGATGGCCGTTTGTAACAATGCAACAAAGTCAAGATGCGCCAATGATGACAAGAGCACACAAGATTGTAACTCTCAAAACGTCTCCATTTCTGTACGAGCCCGGTGTCATGTCAGAACACAGCTCGATAGCATAGCACTCATAACGTCCGATCATCATCAGCCTACAATCTGATGAAGATACCAGGATTTTATTTTCTGTGGAAATCAGCCATAGCCATCTCTGTTGAGTTGCGCTGTTGGATTCGACGAATGGCGGCACCCGGTTTGGTAGGACGCGGGAAAGTGAAGAGGTGGGTTGATAAAGTTCAGCCTAGATAGACTGATAATCACACTCTGAGAACAGGATCCATAGTCTGCAACCTGGGCATAGGCTCAACTGTTCCCGCTCTGAGTACTCGTTCCTATGTCTCCTAAGAAGCATCGATCCGAAAAGCGCACGGACATAGACAGCGAGTCCATGGAATCGAAAATCACTCTTTGATCCGAAGCACTTTTTCAATTATGCGCTCGCCGTCCGTCGAGGATCCGCATTCTCACTCTATAAAGAAGTGAAACCTCGGACAACTCTCAGCGCCACTTTCCTGTCCTGGATCATACTATGAATATGAGTAAAACAGACGTATGCAGAGTGACAGAGACCGAATAATTTGTATAATGTATTGCAATTGGCGGTGTGGCAAAGGATATCAAGGTTGGATGGCTTGAAGGGACCCGCCGTGCAGTGGAAACTCCAGTGATGTTTGAAAGAGCCTATCCAAAAAGTCGGTCCCTAATGTACATGTCGAGTGTGGAGTATACGGCTTGGTGGAGCCGAAAGAAAGAGCTAGAGCCACGCATGGTAATCCCTGCGTTATCCTTGCGATAACGAAAGAGCATAGCTTCAGCCACGCATCGATCGAGAACAAAGACAGCAAACCTTGAACCAAAACACCACTATGCCAACCAAATACAATGGTAGCAAATCCTAAAGCAGAGCCATCAGAACCGTTCAAAACGTACGATGAAATCGCTGAAGTCACATATACAATTGGCAGTGCGCCACAGATAATGGCAGTTCGACAATGAGAACGACAAATAAACGTGTCCGCCAATGATCATTGAGTGATTGTTTCAATTGGAACCTCCATTCGGAGATGTCACGGTTGTAGCGACGAGGAGATGAAAGCCGGAAACTCTGCGGATCAAAACGCACAGGTTGACTCGACTCGTGGATGTGACTTGAAGACGAACTGAATTAATCACGAGCAGAGATGATACACCGGGCTAGGAAGCAAAATTAGCGCATGGTACGGGCCCCTGTATACGTACGAGCGCACATTGCATATTGCAGACATGCATGCAAACTGTAATAAGACTAGCGCCGTGTAACGTTGAGTTGACCAATTGTCAGTTTCCATTGACGACGAGCGAATCCATAGTGGATGACGGCGACTCAGCACGCTGTACATGATCCTTCTGCGTCACACAAACGATCATTAATCACGGTAATGCCAGTGCTCGAGGCCTTGCAGGGCCACCGGGTGTTTGAAATGATGATGCACATTGTGAGTACAGGTGCGGGGACTTGTGCTGATTGGTAACGTGTAATAGACGGACGATGAAGTGACCACGGGTGTGAGATTAGGTGCATCCAGCCAATGTGAGCGATGCATGAATGATGGCTTTGTGTTAGTGGGCCTCGTGCCCGTGTACTATGGGCGAGGATTTACTGAATGTACGCCAAGGAGAGGCCGAAAAGCTGCGCAGAAAGGTGACCGTGATGCTCGGAACAAGACTGAATTGTGTGCATTTGGATGGTTTCGCCATATAGAAGATGGTGGATGCGGTTTAAGCTGTGTTTCACGATAAGATGGATGATGGGAGTACCGTCGTGAGAACAGCGGCAGTGCCAGAGGCGGTTCGCTTCCACTGCGGTTCAGTTCTTTCCCTTCCAAAGCTCTCATCTCCACATTACAGAAACAAGTTTGCTACAATCCCAGCGCTATATCCATCATTCGTGATCAAATCACAGTGCCATTCCACTAGCTTCTTCCATTCTAAGTTACTACATGCTGCGACGCTCAGGCTGTAGCTGTGCCATCTGATTCGCGACCACACAGTATTCCTGCTCGCCATCTTATCATCGGTCTTGCATCGTTCTTTGAGCTATCGTATCACCTCTAGTATACGTAACACACCATATTCGATAGTGGGCAGTGGGGTGTTCTTTGCCAATGTGCTTTACCTTACAGCAACACACTTCACGGGCCGCCATTCATAATTACCCATACGACACCAGCACAGCAGCCAAGCAGCCCTGCATCCCGCGAGTACACTGTGACACCAATCACGATCAGACTCCCCTTATCGTCAAACGCCAACTGAACGGGTATCGGCCTCACTAATCCTGACACGATGTCACCTTGCGTTACATTGACACTTTCCTCACTTTCCTAGCTAAGACTTATCGTACGTACCCCAGTTCTCCACCGAGTCATCTTTCAGCGCTTCAGACTCGGACCTACCACCAAGCTTTACTGCAAAACGCTTTTGAGCTACGCCGTATGGTATACCGCCACAACACTCAATTACCGCCACAGATAGTCCCCGTCGAAGTCTCCAAATTGTATTCTTCATGCACCCATGTGATCACTTCATCTCCAGAAGACAGATAATGTGTCGAGACGAGGCACTGTCACCGTGACAAAAAGTAATACATTTCCAGTATACGAGCGCTACGCCCTCTCGAGTCTCCCTACGCCTCACGCCGGAGTCTTCCAAAATGGTATCGTGCCTTCAAAAAAACAAATACCCGGATACTCATCCCCAAACTCGACGATTTCCATTTGTCACGATCCCTCGTCACCCCCTCCAACATCAGCCTCGTGTTGCGCTAGTCTATAACCTAACCTTTTCTTTCATTTTAACTTTTTACGCCTACACCACTCCTGGCACTAGTTCCTGACTCAACCTCTTACCGTGACCATGCTTCTACCCCTCTGGCGTCTGTGTCTCAGCTCCTTCAAGTTACTACGCACGGCTAATATTCCGACCGTGACCGCCTCTCGCAGCCTCTGACTTAGTCTCTCTAGCTGACCTAATTCAACATCATGACAGTACTATCTCTGACTCCCTGGCAATAAATTAACAATTAGCACTGTACCCGGACGCGATGCAGCCGCTTCCACCCAACGACCCCCTAAGCACCGTAACATCTACACCTAACCCAGACGCTTAACCGATACAGGTAATGACAATCCCCGGTCGCTCGCAAATCCACGTGCAACGAAGCCCGACGCAACGAACAAAGTAACAACTCGACCCCCCCCCCATGTTCCGCCGCCTGTCAGAAGAGGGGATAGGGCACTACGCGGTACCACGTTCCACATTGACACGACCCAATGATTGCGTCATCCCACCTGATCACACTGGCAGCCCCTCCGCCAACCTTGAACGATACTCAGGGACTGACTGCTTACTCTAACTGGTATTTTCTATTCGAGACACCGGATTAACCTTGATGAGGCGAGTTTGCGATCGCGAGGGCTTTGAACTGATACCGGTGTTTGTCTTCCAGGGCAAAAGCGCGTGGTCCACCTCGGCTGGACTCGAGCGGGGTAAAGAGGACCGCTACCGAGCGTAGACGAGGCGACGGGTAAAGTTGAGGATCGTCGATCACCAGTGGGGCAATTGGACGAGAATTCCACAGCACCGAAGGAAGACCTCAGAAGACCCATCAACGACCAAACGATAGCATGGTGGGCGTCGCTTGCAGCAAGGCCTAGTTCCTCCACCCCACATGCGATTCTTCTCTATCCATGCTTCTTCATGGTACATTGTCCGCCATAGTAGGTTATAGTAGTAGTCGCACGTTCTCCAAGCTCCATCGATGCGAGCTGTTTCGTTAGGGTGTATTAGCAGGGTAGGATATTCACGATAAGGATCTACCTATCTACACCCGCACAGTCATGATATGACAGTCTGTCATTGACGTATTTCAATAAGCAACGAGTCCATCCCTTTCTTCGTATAATCACACCACCTCTATTGTCCTTGAGTTGTCCCCTCGAGCTCCACCTAGTTCCGGAACTCCCTTGCCCGACTCATCTCGCTAGCACCTCCACCACGCGTACCTCTCTTCCCAAAATTGTTTTTAAATTTTTTACGCAAAAAAAACAAACACAAATGTCAAAAATGCTAACGACCAAAATTGAACGAGGTTATTTGCAAAGGGTCATGAGCTGTTGTCTTGTTGATGCAGTCTCGCGCGTGGTGTGGAGACGCTGGTATGAAGGTACAGGGCGTTGTCGGCTCTGCGCCGGCTAGGTCACCCCATGCAGTACGCACAGTGACGGGGGATGTGACACTCTTCATCGCCTCCCTCTCCCTCCAGCTCCATGTATGATTATTACTAACTTTTTTTTTTTTTTTTGCACATGTCTCGGAGCTTGTCCATTTTGTCCATTTCCCATTCTTCGAGATTATCGGTCTCGTCAGGCCTCAGGTGAAGCGCCGCCGTGAACGTCCAACTTGGAACATGACTCGCACCCGTTACTCTAAACGGATAACCGTCATACTCATATAGGCTTGCACACACCGTGCACCACGCACACCACGCAAGCGTATGGACAGGGGGGAGGGAGGATCCACCCACCACGGCCTTCCCGCCAACGCGCCTGTGAGTTCTGTCACAAAATGCATTTTCCAGGACTGTCAAGTTTGGGGCAGCCATATTTCCCATTCGTTCATCTATTGTCCAGGATGGCTGCTTAGTTACTAGTCATTGTCACGGTGTCGTCCGTATGCGCGCGCGTATAATAACGTCAGCCCCCGAGTCGTCCACCCGCCTTACAGCACCTCCACACCGAGTCACACCTGTCAACCCCCTATCATCCTTATTCTTATCCTCATTCATTTACTCCAAGGGGCCCATCTCAAATAGACTGAAACGCCCGTGTGCACACACAGTGCAAGGCACCAGCCGTCTAATCGAGGTAAACGTCTCGAGAGGAGAGGGGAGAGCCTCGGAGTACCGAGTACAGGATGCATAATATGCCTTAACACCGTATGCAGTACACCCCTTCCAGAGCCCCCACCTGCGCCCGCCATCTAAATATGACTATGAACTGTACGATTCGCTCGAATTCCTTGGATCGGTAGAACGGCACATGCGCATGTCCGATTCCCTAGGAACGTGGTCACCCTACGGCTAACGGCCTACCTCCCCCCCTCAAAAGAAGGGAAAGAGAAAGAGAGAAAGGAAGACCTCGATCATGATAGTATCGATATCGATGCCATCCACATACGTACAGAACTACGAAAATGTATATAAAGCTATCGCGATGAGATACGGGGCAGGGTTAAGGACCCCCCTAGGCCTGTGCAGGCCCTTGCTTAAACTCATTTCGCCACATCGCCCCAAATTGCAAAAACAAGAAGAAGAAAAAAAGCCCTCTTCCAGTTGAGGTTGCGCAACATGCATGCATGGTGCACCCGGTACTCAATTGAGTTTTTAAATCTCGAACGTTCGAAAACGACGCGCGCAGTCACAATCGCCCATATGTCGCCAATAGTCATTTTCATTTAATATACTAGTTATGTGAATTACGCCCACCCCAGATTTAGTTTCGAGTTCAGTTTCTTGAGTTGAAAAAAGGTACCTCCCCTCGTCGCGTGGGGCTGGATATCGTCAATGGATGCGGTTGTATATTGCAATGATAGCAAGCCTATTGGTAGCAGCCCAAGAACCTCAAATTCCAAAACCGATCGACGGTTCGTAACTGACCTTCACGCCGTAGTAGTAGTACGTACCACCGTGACCGATAAACCTGTTCCCAACATCCTGTTCCAACCTATTCCAACAGCTGATCTCAGGGGAACTCCCAATACAAAACGTTATCGCCCCACTTGCCCATTGAATAGAGAAGTGAACGATGATCGTGACATCGCATGACATCTCAAAACACTTGACACCGCCGACTGTCAAGGACCCTACGCCCCGAGTGTGTGTTCTTCGAGTGGGGTTCTTGGTTTCGAGCTGTGAACGGTTCAGCCGTCCTGTTCTCTTTCTCAGCGTTCATCCAATCGTTCTGAATCCCCAACCCGCATCCGCGTCAACCATCCGGAGTCCAATTTCACACCCAATATCGACTCATCCGTGATAATCTGTCAGACTGCGCAGTCCCCTCCCCTCGCCCCCCTAAATCTGAACAAAATAAAATAAAATAAAATAAAATAAAATCACGATAAGCATCATAGCATGAATGACCTGTGACCGTGAAAGAAAACCACGTGTACCGAAAACCGAAAACCGGAAAAAACCCGAGTTCGGTGCTATCCCCCTATCCGTACGTCGTTCCCATAGGCTACGGCCGTACAGTCATCGTAGTAGTAGATCGAGTTCTTTGAGTTCTTCGAGTTCTTCGAGTTCTCTGAGTTCTTAGAGAGCCCTTCGATCCTTCGATTCTTCGAAAACCTTCGCGAGCGACGCCGTGGCCATACAAGTCAATGGGGGCAAAACCTCAGGCCTGACGCCTGACGCTCGTGCAGCCCAAGTGCACAGATTTGCCATGTGCAATATGCAGAGGGGCGAGCCTAAGCGTCCAAGTTCAGAGCCTCGCAGCAATCCCATCCTTGCCCTCATCCTTAAGAGTACTTTGCATCATTGAATTCAACGAATCCTCCAATATATATATTTTTTATTTCATCCCAATTCTTCCAAAGTTTCTATAAGAGCTAACTATTACAAAACAAAACACAATCCGTCTCAAAAAAAATTCAATTCAAATCAATTCACGAAATGAGGGGAAAATAATATTAAAAAAAAAAAAAAAAAAAAAAAAAGAGTCGCAAGAAACCAGGGCCTCGAGACATGGAAAGAAACTCGGAGAGCACGAAAAGAAAAAAGAAAGACAGAAAAAGGAGCAAGTCACTGCGTTAATTAAATTTCTTCGAGGGTGAGGGTATCTGAGAGCAAGGGCGGGGGCGGCAAGGGGAAACACGACACGACGACGACGACGACGTACAAGCAAAGGGGGACAATGACGGGTGGGTGACGAGGGGGCGTGACAGAGGGGCAACAACATTGATATCAAGAACGGACGGCGAAAGGGATCGAAAGGATCGAACAAAAAGCCAAAGAGAAAAATTTCCGTGTGGTGTATTATGTATATGCACATTATAAACAAGCAGCGCGTCTCTGTGCGCTGCATAACGTGGAGGGAGGAGAGGCGGGGCGCGCCGACATCGCCTTTTTGGTCTTTCTGTCTGGTAAAACAGCGCGCCAGTCCGTGGTATAAGGGCGGCAAGTGCAAGGGGGGGTAGAAAACAGTGGGGGTTGGCTACACGTGTGTGAAACGGGAGACAAAAGAGTCAAACAAGAAATACAGAAAAGTGTGGTTTTTTTTCGTAGACTTGCTTTGCCATTCTTTCTCTTCTTTCTTGGCTTCCGATTTCGAAATAAATAATATAAAACGGGAAAGGAACGCTCCACGATCACTTTTGCGGTGTGGGTGATGTGAGAGAGGGGGTATGCGTCCTGCGATCCGCCGTCGTTTTGGTGGGGGAATAAAAAGAGTGTGGGTGATTTGTGCCTTTGTCGTCGTGAAAGATGAGGAGGGATATTATGAACAAAGAAAAGCTGTGATAAACGTCGTCGTCGTCGGTGGGAGGAAATGGTTGAATATATTCGAGGAGTGCCAGTGATGAGGATGATTCAAATAAATAAAGCCGCCATTATCGATTATATATCGAACGAGACGAAAACATGAGACGAAGTGGAAAGAAAATGGGCAGAAATTACGAGGGTCATCTTCCAAAAACACAATGCGCGCATGCGCAGAGGTGAGAGATACAACAGAAATTACAACGCTCCCCCGCGGGAGGAGGATTACACGCCAACAAAAAAGCCTACATCGCAAGCAACGTCTCCCCCAGCTCTTATGAGCGCACACCTTCCTCAGCAGCAGCAGCAGCCGCACTCGACAGCTCGCTGAGTGGCACATTGGACGAACTGACATCCATCCCATCTGCCTGCTCCTGCACCGACATGGCATGCATCGCCGGGGACGAGACCATACCAGCGGGCGAGCTCGACTGCATCGGAGGCGAGCTGACGTAGGTCGGCATCGAGCCACGTCTGTACTGGTCGTGCTGTTGGGCGTAGTAGGAGGGAGGGATGGGAACGGTGGCTGCTTTGCGCGGCGATGGCGCTGCTGCTGACGACTGGCCCTGAACCTGGAGAGAGGATTGTTGCATGCTGGCTTGGAGGGAGGCGATGTCGGAGAGCGGTGCATTCGGCAGTCTGATGCCGCCATCGCGCGGATGGCCGGGAGAGGACATGGGTGGGCTCTGCGACGAGCGAGGGATGGGGAAAGTGGCAGCTGCAGGCGAAGAATAGTTTGAGGGCGGGGCAGAGCCAGAAGACGAATATACTGATACTAAGGACACGATAAGCAAGCAGATCGCAAGCAAAGGCAACAAATACTGACCACTATCATCCCAGTCGCTGGTGGCGCTGCCCGAGTGGACACTGGAGGCAGAACTGGAGACCGAGCTCCTTCTAGCAAGACCGCACTCTCTGGGCTCCTTCTTTACGATGGAAGGGTTCTTTGCGTCCTTTGGTACGGTACCGCTGGCAGGTTTAACGGTGCCCTGAGTAGCAGCTTTGCGAGCCTTGTTACCGGCGCGAAGTTCGTCGAAGCGAAGGGGACGAGGACGGAGGTGGGTGCGCTCGTACAGGCCACACTTGTTGCAAACGATTTTGCCCGGGTTGAGGGTGGAGCGACGCCAGGAAGGGGGCTCTGTGGTGTGGCAGTTGAAGCAGCGCCTGCGAAGGTACTGGGTCTCCTTGCTAGCGGCGTCGTCGGTGTGCTGGACGGGGACACCGGTATGGGGAGAAAGGTAGGACATGGGAAGGCCGGGGTGAGAGGAGGGGTGGCGGGGGTAGCAAGCAATCTGGGAGGGTACGATGACAGGGGAGGGATCTTCGAGTTTTATGCCCTCTGAGGAGTGGTGGTGGAGTTGTTGGACATGAGAGTGGTGTTCTGGATAGTCATGGTAGGAATGGGGGGAGGAGGAGGAGACATAGGCGTCCTGTGCAGGCTCTGCAGCGATCTGGTCAGCGTAGAGGGGCGGGTGAGAGAACTGGTCCTGTATGTAGGAGGGATAGTTTGAGGAGGACGAAGAGTGGAGATCGTCACGATCGTGGCGTACGTAGGGGAAGGTGGCGCGACGGATCATGGTGTGGTCAGCCCTGTTCTGCTGGTGCTGCTGAAAGTGGTGCTGCTGGGGATGATGGTGGTGGTGCTGCTGCTGCTGCTGCTGCTGCTGGATGTAGGACCAGTCCTGGTATGACTGGGAGTCGTCGATGTACATGTCGGTGGGGGGTATGTCGTGGTCATAGAGCTCCTGGAGGAGAGAGCCGCGGGAGGAGTTGGTGAAGGAGTACTGGGGCCAGAACGGGTTTGAGTCGTCGTGGTGGATGAGGTGGTCAGAGTCGGCGAAGAGGGGGGGGATGGGGTCGACGATGTGCTTGTAGGGGGGGTGTACGTCGATGGAGCGGGGGGAGGGTGTGCGGGGAGTGGAGGAGTCAGAGTCCGAGGTGTATGTTTCGAATTGGAGAGAGTCCATGGCTACTATAGAAGAGGGACGCGGACTGACAAACGGAGAATCTCGGGTTAATTTTAAAGAATTCAGAAAACTGCGTTCGTTGCGACTCTGGGTCCTTCCT